TGTAGTTCAGTTGGTAGAGAGTTTGCCTCGCACACTGTAAGACCTGAACTCAACCCCCAGTACAAATGAAAAGCAGACAGCACTGACTGGTTCTCAAGAAAACACGGCAGTCAGAGGCGCTACGAGCAGTCGTCCACCTGTTATAGCTTTTAACACATTTTATGTCCGCGCACCGCATTCAGGACACACAAGATATAAAGGGTTACAAATATTCAGATTTTATTATAAATAAAATACTGTTTTCTTTTTAAACATAGAAAAATGCCAAGTGTTGCGCTTTAATAACCTCCTGGAAGAGGAAGGCTGTGGAGATTAAGGCAAACCGCTGAAGTGAAGGCACATTTAAAAGGGCCACAGTTGGGATCAAGAGGAAAATTCCATGGGGGGAAAAAATAAAACAATCTATTCTGTGTGACACCCGGCATTTTACAGCAGCCATCCTGTCAATTTTATTACATAAAATACAGATTACTGAAACTATACAATAAAACAATGGCCGTGCTGCAGGAGTGTACTAGGTATTATCTTGTAAATAACTTTCATTTTTAAAAATAAATTTCTGTTTAAAAATATACCACACAGAAGGAGAAGATGAACCAAGCCAAACACTCCACCCACCATGGCCTAAGCCCTGCTGGAGTGGAGCTGACCCAACGGATGATGGTGGTCTGTTTCAGCCATTTTCCTGCAACTGTGACCAACATGCACCTGCTACGGTGGCGAGCACTTAATCAGAGGAACTAGCCAATCAGCACTGAACTTAGCGAGGAAGGGCCATGCCTCTGCTGTGGCAGAAAAGACCTCGGAGGAGCAAGAGTGGAACCTCAGGGGTGCCAAGCCGAGCATTTTGGTGATCTCCGTATGCCCAACAGAGATGGAGACAGACTGAACAGAGTCTCCTCCCTGCCGTCAGCTGCGCCTGGCACCCTAAAGTGCTCAGTCATCACATGCTCCCTACAAAACTGACCCATCCCATCAGGAATGGGAGAGTCCCGTCAGTAAAGTTTCCTAACTACTTCGCCCGGTCACCTGGTGGCTGCTCTGGGGCAGACATGGAGGACAGCATGAGCTACAGCTCAGATGATCAGGCAACAGGGGAGAGCACCTGAGTGCCCTCTCGGGTCTGGCTGTGGAGCTGAGCAGGCTGAGATTGCGGTCAGACAATGAAGGTGCTGCAAACACGAGGCGGAGGCAGAGGCAGAGCAAAACACTGGGGAGCAGGGATGACTCAGGAGACGATGGGAAGGGAGGAGGTGTACAGGTTCCCTGTGCTAGCAAGAGGGAAATCCGAGCAAAGCCGTGAACTGACAGTGCCCTCCTGGGAGGCCTGGGAATATTTACATAAATTCCTTACTCTATAATCATGATAAACAAAAACCATTCACACACAAAAAATATAAATTTCAAATAATTAATAGCACCAGTGTGTCAGATAATAGTTTCTCCCCCCCCCCCCCCCCCCCCCCCCCCCCCCCCCCCACATCAAACGGAGATAAAGACGTAATTTAAAAAACAAACTAGGAAGCGGGGGGGGAGGGGGGGGGGGGGGGGGGGGGGGGGAGGGGGGGGGGGGGGGGGGGGGGGGGGGGGGGGGGGGGGCTCTGGGCCGGGTCTGGGGTGAGGCTTCCAGTTCTGCTCTTCTAGGCAAGGCAGACCCGAGCGCCATCCTTAACCTCTCTAGTTTGTGTTTTCACTGTGATGAAACGATGCTGATAAAACCCTTGCCGACTTCACAGCGTTGGCGAGTATGACGAGGGCAGAAAACACACGGACTAGAACCGCAGCGCGGCACGCACGGAGCTTGAGTGCCAACTGTCCACGGTACAGCTGGCTTACACAGCCTGAGCACCCAGAACTGGCCAATCCATGGCCAGACTTCCTGTGCCTTCACTCAGTGAAGAGCAGGGCCGCGAGAATTCGAAAATGGTTTAGTTAGTTATCACACCGGGAATCGAACCCAGGCCGCCTGCACACCAGCGGGGTGCCCTACCCCTGGACTGTATCCTCAGCTGCTCCCCCTGATCCTTTTTAAAAATGAAAACATTATGAGTTAAAGACTGGTTTAATTTCTTAGATTGGGCTAACTTTGCTTTGCAGCAGCCTAGGTCTTGAACTTCCAATCCCCCTGCCTCAGTCTTTAGAGTAGTTTAGATGACAGGATTTTGTCAGTCAGCCTAGTGTAGACTTTATTGTTACTTTTTTAGCAGCTATAGACAGAAAAGCCCTGAGGATGTAAGACAGAGTTCCATATAATGCATACGCAGTCTCCCGGTCTACCTTGCACAGAGATGCCTTATACATTACGATTAACAAGCCAACACTGGAACCGAATGTATGCTGCATTAAAATTGTCTTCATTTTCTTAACCCCATACTTCCTGCGCGTGGGCTGGAGCTTGAACCTGGGACCCCTGCGCTCTAAGCTTGCATTCCGCCGCTAGGCTTCGCATCTCAGTGTCCTTTCTCTGCCCTGGATCCCGTACAGGACAGCACGAGATGTTTAGGTGTCACATCTCCTTAGCTCTCTGTTGGTTAGGACAGCTCTAAATTTGTCACCATTGTGACGAAGTAAGTGCCTTTGCCATCTCCTTGTTACAGAGCTGGCACAGTCCGGTATGTAACTTTCTAAGTGGCTCATCTCTGTCACGTGAACTAGGACTCTCCCACCCAACCCCCCATGATCCTACACCTGAGAGTGGGACCCATCCCCCCACCTCCTTGAGGGCAGAATATCTGCATAAAATTATTTGTGATTCTTTGGCAGGAGAAATTTATCTTTTTTCCCCACTCAGGTCATTTTTTTTTCCCTCCTCTCATCTCTGCTAGACTAACTGATTTTAGTGTTACTGAGCACCACTGGAAACAAATCTAAAGCCAGTGTCTTCCAAATTGGTGGAATTTTCCATCATTAAGCATTAGTGTTTGGAGGACCTTGGAGCTGGGCATGGGGAGAACACAGATGGCAAAACACAGGCGTCTAGGAGCTGAATTAATCTTTTAGTTCTAAGAGCTAAATTAATCTTTTAGTTAATTGTCCCAAATGACAGCTTCGGAGTCAGCGATCCCTTTGCTAACCTTATATGGAAAGACCTGAAAATGAATAAGGAATTAAAACAACCAAACAGGTAGGATGGTCAAAACCAATACGAATGAATAGCTATGAGCCAGGTGGAAAAGCATCTCTGGCGAGTTTGAACTGGTGCCTCTGCCTGTCTGAAAATGTGCTTTCGGTGTCTCAGGCCATCGGCACCCTTTTTGGCAGGAGTCCTGTGTCGACTCAGGAAGGAGACTATCTTCCTGCTGCTCCCGAAACACGCGTGGGCCTAGCATTAGCGCGCACGCCGGCAGCAACCTGAGCATAAAGACCACACCTCGGCACCACTGTAATTTGCCAAACGGCCAAAAATCTGCTTGAACTTTTCCTTCGAGAGAATCTGCTTAAAATTAGAAAGAGTATGTTTGGGTTTGTTCATTTATAAGAAAACGAGAGGCCAAGCATGCTAGCACATGCCTGCTGCAATCCCAGCATTTGGGAAGCCGAAGGAGGATTGCAAGTTCCAGCTGGGACTGTGTAGTGAGATGCTGCGTAAAAAGTAAAGAGGAAAAAGAGGAGGATAAAGGGAGGGAAGGAGGAACGGTCAGGAAAAAGAAAGAAAAAGGGGAATGGGAGATCATGGTGGGATGTGCCTGTAAAGTTTCTTTCTACGTTTGTCTGGTCAGATCCAACCCATCAGCTCTATTCTACCAGGTTTCCTTCCTTCTTTTTTTCCTTTCTTCCTTTCTCTTTTTCTCTGAAAGTGACTCAGATTTTTCTCCCAAAGGGTGCTGGTGAGATGGCTCAGGATTAAGAGCAGTCTCCTCTTCTAGAGGACCAGGGTTCTATTTCCAGCAGCCACATGACATCTGATAATTGCCTGTAACTCCAGTCCTCGGGAATCAGGTGCCCACTTCCAGGCCTGCCTGTGGCACAGTCATAAATGCATCCAAAAACTCTGTTCACCTAAAAAACAAAATAAGAAAGAATTTTTTTTTTGATTTTTCGAGACAGGGTTTCTCCGTAGTTTTTGGTTCCTGTCCTGGAACTAGCTCTGTAGACCAGGCTGGCCTCGAACTCACAGAGATCCACNCCCGCTACGCAAAGTACAAAATTGCATAGTGTTAAAGGCTATATATGAATCTCAGAGGCAGGTAGGCAGGAGGAAGGGGGCGTGTGGCAGGAACTGTCACAGTGTGGTCCTAAGAAAACCACAGAGCTGAGGATCTGAGGTTGGGAATCCTACTAGGAAATGCCACACAAGGGTCTTCCCGTTCGTACAGAGGAAAGTCTTAAGAGTGGGTGGAGCCACAAAGTGCAGGAACTGGATGGCGCCGGCAGCGGTGTGAAATACTGAGCGGCAGCATTTGCCGTCAGGATCCGGCAAACAGTGATGTATTTTGAAGAGTTCTAAATACAGAACGCTAGAAAAAGAGAATTCGCGCTTAGGGGCAAACATTACACCTCCCTCCAACAGAAGAAGAGAGCACAGATGGAGTCCTAATGATACTGGTTACACCTCATGTTCCAGAAAAATCTGGGGAGGAGGGAATCTGCTTTTCTTCCATTGGTCAAGATCTTAGAGACCAACTGTTTGACAGATAGCTTAACACTAATTCCAAGACTGACACACTAACAAGGCTTGAAGAATTAGGCTTGGAAAAAAAAAACTTAGTGGTTATTGCACCCCTGTTTCTTCTGCACCAAGTCCCATTTATAAAAATATCAAAAGCTATCTAGTGTAGTCGTGAGTGCAAGCTGCCCATCCAGACTTTGTATCAGCTGCCTATGGATCTGAAAATAGTTTATCTTCCTGGTCAATTCATATGGGACAGAATCCTAGGTGTCTTTGAGCCATAGTCTCCGGGAGACAGACACATAACTGGACTCTTTCCCAGGACGGCTCAGGGTCCTACACTCAACAGCTAGCACTACTGGTGGATGGCTACCAACATCTGAATGACTGATACCTTTGGCACAAGGTGTTTATTTCCTTTTGTTTAAAAGAGGAGGCTGAAGATGCGGAGGCACTTTCGTTATCCACAGACGGGGCATACTGGCCATCTCAATGCTATGATGAGGAGCCAAACATTTCCTTCATAGAAACATGAGAACGGAGATAGGTTCTGCTGGTGTTGAGAGGAGGGAAGGGGAGGGGTCTGCCTTGGCGTAAGGTTGCTGGGTAAAGGGCTGACGTGAATGGAAGAGACTTTATTAGGCCAAACCCTTTGTTCCTGGTTCAGGATGTTTAACCTGCTCCTCTTTAAACTCCGACTTTTTGTGTTCACAAGGACAGTGATGGAGAGCAGCAGAGAGGTGGGGGGGTCTGAAAAGTGTAATCTCTGTGTCAAGGCACTGTGGCCTCACGGGCTCCCCTTCTGGGGGCACTGCCTTACGGCCCTCTGGTCACTAGGGCTTCTCAATGGACGGGGTGTTAAAGCAGCCGGACGGTAGGGTCTTCTTGATGTCCTCCAGGTTGTGAATGTCCTTTATGATCTCGTCTATGTCTCGGTTATAGTCCATGATGGCTGCCTCCTGCTTCCGGGCTTCATTCTCTAGGTCAGCCACCTTCCTGTCCAGATCGCTGACCTTCATTTCGTCCTTGGCTTTGTTCAGGGTGCCCTCGATCTCATTCAGCTTGTTCAGGTCCACGGTGTCCAGCTGTCCTGCAGAGTCAGGAAGGACACAAAGGAGAACAGGCTCATTCCTCGAGAACTTTGTCATAAACTAAGGCTAGCAGCTTCCTTGGCTCAAAGGTGCTGTGTGTGCTGTGTTCAAGGGTCTAAGCAGTGCTGGCCTGGCCAACAAGGGCAGGCGGAGTAGATCATTAATATTAGAACAGTTGTAGTTTTGTTCTTGAGAAAATTGGTTTTCACAGAATGTTTTAATTTTTAAATATTTATTATTATTATTTATTACTCTGTGTGTGTGTGCATGTGTGTACATGTGTGTCTGCATGAATGCCAAGGCATATATGTGGAGGTCAGAAGGCAACCTGCAGGAGTTGGTTCTCTCTTTCCACCATGTGGGTCCCAGGGACTGAACTCAGGTTGTCAGGCACCGCAGCAAGTGCCTTACCCACTCCATCTCTTCAGCCCTAACGGAACGTTTTCTAAATGCACAGCTACCACATCTTAGACCTCGCTTATGTTTACAAAGGCCATTTGGTAACACCCAATCCTCTTTGCCAGGTCATATGTGTAATCTGCGGGCCATTTCAGTATCATCAAAGAATATAAAAATCTCTAAGATAGAAGCATATGTCCGCAACTCCCAGGTTCCAGGGAAGATGCACTGGTTTGGGGATCACTTCCTGTTTGTAAATGTTAAGACACTACTAGGAAAATAGAAAATGGCAAATTTTCTCATTTAGTGTAAAAGTTCTCACTTCATCAAACTGTTCTCTGGTTGGCAATGGAGAGATTCTGAGCAACGAAGCATGTCTTTAAGAATTCTTTATTCTACCATGGAGCCTTTCAAACTCCTTAAAGAACCCCACCAGCAGGGTGGACTAAGGGGAAATGGCTGTTTAATTGCACAATGAACCCTGGCCATAAATGACACCCCAGCTGGCAGCTCATCTTCAAATGTAAAGACCGTGGTGTCCTAGTCGGGGCAGCGTCCGGGGATGGCACCTAAAGCACCTGAGCTCAATGAGGCCGGCTTCCTCTTCACTCTAGAGTTGGTGCCCAGCAATGCTGCCAGGCAAGACAGTGGGTACGGCAGCCCTAACTGTGCAGGAGCTAAAGGAAATGTTAATATCGATGAGTTGAGGACTCCGTGTAAGTGGACTCAGAGTCGGTGGCGTCAGACCCCAGAACGGCACAAAGCTCTGGGTGCCGGCAGGAGCGAGCCTTCCGTTACTTACCTAGCTGCTCCAGGAGGTCAGTCAGTTGGCCGAGGAGGCTGCTAACGGAGTTTTTGGCTTTTCTGGCATTGAGCTCAGCTTCCTGAGCAGCCTGTGAAGCCTGCGGGGAGAGTAAACAGCATGACTACCCCTGACGCCATGTTTTCATCGTCTCTAAATATTTCCCTTAGTGAGGCAGCAGACCTATTTTCAGATGTGTCCCCCCCTTCCAAGTGCTGAGTCACAGACCCTCTGCAGGTTTGGGGTGGTGTCTTTCTTCATCAGGTGGAGGGTGTTACTTCTGCTGCATGGAATAATCAGAATTCCTATGTTTTTTGTTTGTTTGTTTGTGTTTTTGTTTTGGACAGTCTTGCTATGTAACCTAAGCTGGTCTCAAATATAAGATTCTCCTGTCTCTGCCTTCCGAGTGCTGGACTGTAGGTATATGCTCCTACGCCTGGCTGCCCTTCCTCACATCCATTCAGAAGAATGACGCTATCTCATTTTCTCACTCCCCACTCCAGAATACCTAGGACAAACACATGATAAAACGCATTAGGTATAATTAGGTATTTTTAAAGTACAGACTGAGTACAGGAACACAACGTGGATACTCTTAGGTACCTGTTTATTTAGAGATGTCCTATTCTTGAGAGTTTTCATAAGCAAAGCAAGGCTTTTCTGAAAATTCTCTGTCAACTGCACACACACATGGAATACAATGGATATTTTCAAAGTCAACCAAAGGTAAATACATTTGGGAAAGTTCCATGAAACCTGAACAAACACACTGGGCATGAGTCACAGGAAGCAGCGGTGGAAAAGGAAGCATCTACGCGTCAGAAAGCAGATGCTCTCACCAACAAAGCCAACAGCAGAGAAAAGAGCTTTGCAGGCCCCACCAGGAATTATTGTTCCTTGTTTTGGGGTCAAAACAAAGCAAACATTTAGGGATAAAAACAATGTGAAAATTTTAAAAAAATAAAAAATAAAAAAGCTTTCACAAAGAAATTATTAACTCAGTTCAAATCACAGCTGCTCTCGGGGAGCCGCATGGGCTTCCGGACGGTTCTGGGACTGGGACACAGGACTCTGCTGTTTAACCGGTGGCCTTCAGTGTCTTCCAGAAAGAACCACAATCCTTCTGATTGAAGACAATATTAGACCCAGGCAATACTCACTGAACTGTGGACTTTCAAAACTATATAAATACAAAAGGGATAACGTATGAAGGCATGGCTTACTGATCCTAAGAAGTTATGTACCAAAACTAACAAAAGTGGATTCTCTTTCTGCTCTTTGAACTAAACCCATATTCCTTTTTGGAACTCATAAATATGTATTCTCTACTTTTCTCAACATGCTTTAAATACAATGCTTCCTTCAAGACAGCTGAAAGGGTAAGTTGCCAATAAGTTTGATGACCTGAGTTCTAGGCCCCAAATCCACATGGTGAGGAAAGAACTAACTCCCACAAGCTGTCCTGGGACAGCCACATGTGTTACAGTGTTACAGCGTGCATGCACACACATGGAATAAATAAGTATATTTTAAAAAGAGAAGCCATAGAGAAACATTGATGTTTGCTTCATGGTAATTTCTATTTGAGCCTCATTTTTACATTAAAAATCGCAGGATAATCCAGCACAAAGTTTAAAAACTCAGCTGTTTTAGTCAGTCATGGTGGTGCATAACTTTAATCCCAGCACACAGGAGACAGAAACAGGAAGATCTCTATGAGTTCAAGGCCATCCTGGTCTACAGGGAGAGCTCCAGGTCAGTCAAGGCTACACAGGGAGACCACCCTGTCTCATAAAACAAAACCCAAAGCTCAGCTGGGTGCATAGAGAGGGGTCACTTCACCAGACCTTGTATTTGCCCTTTCCATCTCAAGGTAAAAATGACCCACAGCAAAAGGCCCTGTTTTGGGGGCCTCTTCCTGACACGGCAAGGGTGAGAGCAAACAAGCTGACGATGTTCACCGACCCTGTGGACGCAACTCAAAACAGCCCCCTAAGTCCTTTCTAATGCAAAACAGAACACCCAGTGAAGAAAAATAGCCCCTCATTCTCCCGTGTACCAGTCAGTCACAAAACCACTCTGCCACAGTGGCCTGCTGTGCGCAGGCACCACAGACAGTGTGCAATGGAAGCGGGTGTGAGGCTGGTGTGAGGCTGGTGTGCTTCAGTGCAGTGGCAGAGAGTGTTCCTCAAATGCCTTGTAGAAGAACCTGGTCTCTGCCCCTAGTGAGCGAGCAGCTGGGAGGACTCAGGAAGGAACTGGCTTTTCACTGCATTCTCCTTTTAAAACAATTTTAATTTTATCCCATGTATGAATCACCTACTCAGCCACATTAAACACACGCACACACACACGCACACACACACACACAAACACACACACTGCTTTTTTTTTTTTTTAAGTGTTCTAAAACTCCAGCTGTGAGGGAAATGTTTTGCTTCTAACTGAGCCGTTTGGGGACAGGGCAATTGTGCAACACCAATACCTGGCAGAGGAGCCAAATTCTTTGTCTTCTACATAAGCTACTGACCCAATTCCTGACCAGAAAATGCAATACAAACCCGAAGTTCACATGGAAAAGGCGTTGTTGGGGGGTCTCTCCCAGTGAGCACCCTCCCCTCTGCCTCTGAACAACAATGGGGAGCTCTTACCATCCCCGCCATCATCATGTCCTGGTCAGCATCGTCTTGTTTCCTCTTCAGCTCATTTTCTGCTTCCTCCAGTTGCCTCAACATAATGTTCACCTCGTTATCCAGATCCGTCACTTCTGCAAAGGTTCTCTCGGCGTCGGCCTTGGTGCCGGTGGCATTCTAGGCACAGAAGGAACTGCTGACCAAAGCAAACCAAAGACCCCAGAGCCACCTTCCCTCTCCTAGAGCGCCTCCTACTCCCTTCTGTAATCTGTTTTGCTACAGCAGAGAACAAACTGTGCGGACTCAGGGGTCTAGAGAGCATGAGATGTGTGAGCAGGGGCTGGTGAAGAGGGAAGCGCTCACCTTCTGCACGGCGCTGGCGATCCTCTCTGCCTCGTGGGCTTTGGTCTTGGCCTCCGTGGCATCGGCTGCAGCGTTGCCCAGGGCCAGCTGTGCCTCCCGTGTCTTCTGATTGGCCTCAGCTATGGTCCGGTTGATGGCGGGAATCCTCCTGAGAGCCTCCTCTGCAGCTGTCTTGTTATCATTCACACGTCTATCAAAATCTAAAAAGGAGTTCAAGGCACACATTTGAATTAAACTGCCAAAAAGAATACAAAACTGCAACTGGATTTTGTTTTCTATGCAGCAAACATCTGTTGGGGAAACAGAGAATAACAACTGGAGATGAACCTCAGAGAGCACAGAACACACCTATCCCTGTGCAGAAGGGTTCAGGACCAGTCACAGGCCTGCACATCCGCTTCTGAGTAGAGTTTCTACTTGAAAAGCCACTGCCATGTAGGCCTGGCACACCACTGCTACAACCAGTGTCTTCGGGGTCTACTGTGTGTCGGGTGCAGTATGACACTCTGCTGACGAATGGGAAACCAGCAACCCAAGAGGCTAATCTGTGGACAGGGGTTCAAACAGACCCCGACACCAAAGCTACACTTGCAACTCTTATGCTTATAGAACCTGTGATTATTTCCACCAAACACAAATCGACCCCTCGGTGAACCGGATGGGTGTGCTTCTCCAAGACAAAGAATTAGATATCAGTGGTGGGAAAAAAAAAAAAAAAGATAGTCTCTGTTTATCACTGAAGGTCAGCTAAGCAGGCGGACTGTGGGGATGCGAGTTAGTCTAACACGAGACCACCCTCCTCACATGGCGTTTTGTTTGCAGACTGAAGAATGCCAGGGTAAAATGACAGAGGCACTCTGATTTTTCTTTCAAATACTCGAGCTCCAGATTTGCCAAGAGATCCTGCTTCAATAAATAGAAGACCCATTAAGGAGATACCTGGAATCAACTTGAGGTCTACACATGCACGCGCGCGCGCGCGCACACACACACACACACACACACACACACACACACACAGACTATGGAGGTTAAACCAAGTATGGTAGAAGACCACGGTTAACTACTGGATCGAAGTAGTCGGTGTATAGGATTTAGCGCACTGTTATGTTCAGCAGGAATCATGCTAAATACAAATGGAAAAGTGACTCAGTGACCGCCTCTGCGGAGGACAGGCAGAGATGCTGCTGCTACCTGATCCTCTCATACCTTTGAGGTTGTTGAGAATGTCATTGGCTTCTTGTAAGGTATTTCGTCCCTTTTTAGCAGCCTCTTCAGCAAGAGCCTTGGCAGCGTCAGCTCGAGCTAGGAGTTGGTCAGCCGTCTGCAAATGCATGGCAGGTCAGAGGACAAACCTTTCTGGGCCAGCCTTTCCCTCTAACAGACAAGCCCCTCACTGCCACAGCTTAGGGACTGAAGCATACACAAAGGCTGCACGCTAGACATGGCTCACCCTTGAGTCATTTAAATTGTTGCCTCCAGAAATGCGGCCAGTGGCAAATCAAACCAACCTGCTGCTCAGCTTTTCCCTTCTCTAGAAGGTTCTTTACTTCATTTTCCTTCCCTCTCATGTCTTCCCGAAGGTCCTCATAGTCCTTCAGCTTCTGGTCAATTAGACGGTCTAGATCCGCAGCTTCCTTCTTGATTTTATTTGCTTCATTCTGTGACGAACATGTAAGCAATGATCACAATAAATGACAAGGAAGCTTAGGCTTCCTTGTGAGATTTAAGGCTCAATTGACAGAAAGACAGCAGAGGTCAAGAGTTTGCGGACCTTTTTAAAAACCAAGTATATTTTAGTGATTTCCGAAGGTCTCCTGTATTGTGATTAGCTTCCACAGCTCTGCCAGCCACAGCTCAAACACATCTTCCTACAAGTCCCTTTCATACAACTCTCCCTACTCCCCTCCCACAGCTGCGGCCCTCTGCTGCCATCATATCAAGCCCGTCTATTTCACATTGCACACATGGACTCAGTCACATCAGGCACCTGAAGACTGAAACCCTGGGAAACCAGCTGACACCTCAGATACAGGAAACAAGCTGGTCAATTTCAAGTTTATTATTAAAGATATCTATATGGGGGCTTCGGGTGAGAAACCATGGTTAGAAGAAATAAAACACTACCAACTCCCGAATATTCTACCTGCCCTGGGCATGCTGCTATAGTTCTTGCAGGCTCGCTCTTCTTGCTGCTCTCTAGGTCCCTGTTACACAGGCCTAGGAAGGCTCCAGCCACACTCTGCTTCAGTTAACTCAAATACATCACAGTTTGAATTTATATGAAACATCTAGAGGAAGTATTCCTATTACCAAGAAACCCTTGCTCCTTCATGTCTATAGTTCTTTATCTCACTAAGTTACATTTGCGTAATTAAAATAGAATTTACCTTTACCAGTGAGTCAGCTGGAGGTCTGGAAAAGAGACGCAGGGCAGGCTCTTACCCAGACTAGAGGGACAGGGGCGTCAGGGACTACAGTGGCCAGTCTTTGCACACATACCTCCAGCGCCTCAGAGTCCACAGGGGTCAGCTGGGCCACACTGGCATAGATCTCTACAGCTTTGTCACCCGCCCGCTTGGCTTCCTCATGGACTCGGGCAGCCTGCTTCTCCAGGTCCTGAGAGATGTTCTTTGCTTGCTCATACCTAAGGAACAAATGATGTAATTCAATTTAAAAAACCAAAACCTGCTTTTTTAACATCTTAATATTAATCAGATACAATCTACTTATTATCCCTGGGACAACAGCTCCAAAAACCTAAAAGGAACTATGTTGGGGACTGCGGACCACCAGACCCTGAATTTCTTGTAAACAACTTGTTTTCCTCTGCTCTGAACAGCCTGCAACTGCAAGGTCCCGAGAGCTGGGGCGTGGTCAGAGCCCTATATAAGTTGCCCCTGAACACAATAAAGTGGGCATTCTTGGCATTCTTGTATCAAGGATGTCCCCGTGGCCCTGTCTGTCTGTCTATCTCTGTCTATTATTGTGTTTTTAAATATTCAGTCTAGTTCCTGTAGTGCGTAGCAAGTAGAGTGCGGAACAGATCCGGTATAGTTTTATATTACTGCTGTACCCAATGCTCTCATTTTGATAACAACCCTAGCTAAAAGTTACATTTCATTTTTTCAGTTCTATTTAGTTTACCATATATAAACCAGGCATCCCTAAAACCCAAATTCCAGCTCTATAACATTTCTAGCTCTGATAATACAATAGGAGAAGTTCATACCTGCTTCCGTGTGATGGCTACTACCAAACGGCAGACACACTACAAATACTAGGGAAATGCCAGGCTACACATACACGAACATGGATCAACTCTGTATTTAGACTTGGGTCTCACTCACAATCTCATTATATAGACACACACACACACATACACACACACACACACACACACACGTCCCAAAAACTTCTGGTCCCTAATCTTTCAGATTAGAAATATTCAATTAATACATTTTATACATTCTTACTTTGGACTGTTTAAAGGCTGGCAGCTCAGCACATTTTCTTCGCTTTACTCTAACTTCTCTTCCCTTCAGCCTCCGTATACGAAGCCTCTTAAGCATGTGGCCGGTCTAGCTCCCATCGCCTGCAGGCAGAGCTGGAGGGGCCGCACATCCTCTGCCCTAACCACTCCACCACTCTGAAAGTGTGATGAACCTCACACACATGAGCCTAGTCCCCAGTCCACCGTGCTGGCTCTGCACAGCCCCGACGGGGAGCCACTTCCCAGTTACACTCACTTCCTATTAAGCTCTTCGATCTCAAATGCTGTTTGGTTCTCTCCTTCCAGGGTCCTCAAAAGCAGATTATAGGCCTCAGCCGAAGTCTCATTGGCTGTCTTTGCCACTCGGACAATGTCGTCAGCTTCCTGTTTGTGGCTGTACATGTAGGGGGAAAATTAAAAATAAACCATGAACAAGACTATTCAGTAGGAAAAGAAATAAAATTTAAGTAACATTTACTTGGTTATATTTCCATATACTAGTATCTAGGAATACTAGAAAGTCCCATTTGGAGTTTCACAGTCATTTCAGGTGGCTAAGTTCACAAAAAGTATTATGTAACTGAGAAGAGTATTTTCTGGTAAATAAATGGCACAAAACTCTACTGGGACAAATGTGTATTTTTCTGAGAAAAACTGCTTTTGTTTGGTGTGCTGAGGTAGCTCCTGCCCATAACCCTAGCACTGAGGCAGCAGGATCAGGAGGTTCCAGGCCAATGAGCTACAAAGTGAAAATGTCTCAGAGGACAGGGAGGGGAGAGAGGGAAGAAACCTCCCAATGTGAGTAATTTATTCGAATGTGAGTAATTTACATACAGCACTGGGCTACCCAGACCGTGTATCTGGTCAACAACAAAAACATCAGACTATCGTACAGTCTGCTGGACTACACAGTTACTACATAGTCTCCAAGGTTACTGCATAGTGTCCACAGTTACTACATAGCCTCCACACAGTTACTACATAGTCTCCACACAGTTACTACATAGTCTCCACACAGTTACTACATAGTCTCCACACAGTTACTGCACAGTCTCTACACAGCCTGTCTTCAAACTTTTCTTATTTGACCTAATTACTGGAAGAAAAATCAACACCAAATAGCAATGAACAAGTCAATAGGGACTCCAGCCAAGCAACACATCTTAGCTGGGTAACAATGCTAATTGATTTTTCACTTCTAACAGTTCATGTTGAATTGTGACACCCATTATGTGGCCATTCTCCTTGGCAAAAGAAACTTCATCCTACGTCCATAGGTGAAGCCCATCACATCAGTAAGTTTCTGGGACCTAGATTTCTTGGGAGCTTCCATGTTTTTAGCTATCTTCCTTATTTAGTAAGAAAGTCCAGCAATAAACCCATAAAACCGCGAATGTTCTGCAAAGTTGATTACATGGCTCACAAACTCACACTCACCCAGAACAGAAAGGAACCTGTTAAGGTCAACGCAACCTGAACCTGTGAGGCAGCAGTGCCGCCGTTCTGGACAAAGTTGACACTTCTGATGTCTGCACTGAGTGCCTGTACTGTGACTCCATACAAAGATGCCTGCTCTCACGGTCACCTACATTTTAGCCATTTAAAAAGTTAACTCCTTCTGCAATTTAAAGCCTTCCAACGAAGTTATAATGAATTTAAAAGTGTCTAAAAAGCAAACAAGCCAGGAATGAAATGATCAGTGTTCTTTGACTTACTTTCAAATGTGCAATGAGTTTAAGTGTTTTCTAATGAGAACTGAAAATTAAATATTTGTTGAAAACTAATGTAAAAATTTTAAGTTAATAACTTCTATTGGGTTCCTTAGAAATCTATAAATTTGAAGGCTTTAAAGTTGAAAAAATCTAAAAAAGTTAAATCTGATATATATAAATACAATTTTGTTCTAAGCTAGTATATTCTAATACTTAAGATAAGTTATTCCGATTTCAAAGTGAAAGAGAAAGAGTCTGCAGAGCTGTAACATTAGAGCAAGGGCAAGCCTACAATGGAAAGCATGCACAGGAGGGGACAGGACTGCACGCACAGGTCAGCTGGGGCACTGCGCCTGAACCCCGCAGCATGCTGCAGCTTACCGCTCTGCAAGCCTTCGGGCCTCTTCTGCCAACAGCGTCATGTTGTTTGGTTCCCCTGTAGACTCTGGCTGAGTGATTGACTGAAGAGGAAATAAAACATGGATTTTCAAAAGACTGAATTGTTTAAATTCAATAAAGCAAGTATTAACACTAATTATTGTGAATTCTTTTTCTGTTTGTTTGTTTGTTTTGCTTTGTTTTTTTGAGACAGGGTTTCTCTGTAGCTTTAGAGCCTGTCCTGGAACTAGCTCTTTTAGACCAAGCTGGCCTCGAACTCACAGAGATCCACCTGCCTCTGTCTCCTGAGTGCTGGGATTAAAGGTGTGCACCACCACTGCTTGACTTAATTTTTGTTAATTCTTACGCAAAATATTTTTTTTTTCTTATTTTCAGAGATCTTTAGTTCTGATCAGCACCTCTGGCTGGAAATTGTTTCTATTTTGAGTGCTGCAGAAGAGGGAAGTAAGAGAAAGAACCTAGACATCCCTCTGTTTCTATTCAGGTCCTTCTGTTTTGTGACAATTGTTGAGGTTAGAACCTGAGCTGACCCCCCTCAAGTTCCTGTGTTGGAAAACCTGATTCCCAGCTGGCGTTTAGGGGCAGCTATGGAAGCTTACTTAGGAGGTGGGTTACTGGGATAGGCCTTTAGTGGTATAGCCTGTTCTGCTTCTGTCCTATTGGCTTCTGGATCTGGCTGCTGTATGGGCAGACACCACACGCTTCTGCTACTACCAACAGCTGTCCTTTGCCCATGCTGAGGAACTACGAGCCAAATAGCCCTCTTCTGTTTTAAGCTGTTTCTGTTAGCTTTGCCACAACCGCTTCAATGACTATGATCCACATGGCTTTCCTGCTCTGGGGTGCCAGGTAGTAGGATGAAGACACACTGGGGGTGGATTCTCGGTGGAGTAGAATGACCTGCTACAAATTTCCCAACAACCCATCATACCCACGGGAAGTTCAGAGTCACTCACCACATTGGCAGCAGCCATTTTTGCTTTCTCAAGCTCCCTGGAGGCAATCTCAATCAGCTGCTCCGTACTCTCCACGCGGAACCGTGCTTGTTCAGCCAAGACCCCAGTCTCTTCTATAGTATTCCGGATGTTCTGCAATCGGCTAATTTGGCTATGTAGACTGCTATTCACCCTCTGAAGGCGATCCATCAAATTCTGATCTACATCTGAAAGAGCATTGCAGACAGACAGCCTGAAAATGATCATCATACCATCCATGTGAAGCTGAGGCGCTCTGTTTCTTCCCCAACCCCCAGCAGAGGTGATGCCTCTACTGTATGCTGGCATGTGTGCACTGCTCCCAACCTCGCTGTCTGTCCCAGGTGACTGAGTCCCTTTCCTATCCATCCCTGGGTCCACAATCTTACACGAAAGTCAGCAAAGCAGAGACAATGAAGCATGCAGATGCTGGATGAAGGGAAGGAAAAAGGATCTTCGTACTGTGTCAGATTTAGTCACAACTGCATAGTATTGAAGTGTCGTCGGCCTAAAACCCCGACACACAACTATTAAAAAGTATGCTTGAAACAGACGCCAGGTGTAAGGATGGACGCTGAATTCCAGCATGCAGGAAGCGGAAGCAGGTGGCTCTCTGTGTGTTCCTGGCCAGTCTGGTCTACATGGAATGGAGGGATACAAAATAAAACCCTGACTACTCAAAATCAAACAAACAAAACAACACTGATTATGGTAAACACAACTTCTTTGCATTTTAAACCAGGTGTGCTTCTTGCTCCTCCCCACTCCACCTCTGTCCCAGCACATGTACGCGATTTTCATTGGATCTCTGCTTCGACAGAGTCCCTCAAACTGCACTTTTCCACTCCATTGAACTTAAACCTCATGCTTGGGTCCCAATAAATCAAATGATAATTATAAACCTGTGCAAATATAAAGGCTGCCAGTATTAAATTCTCATATGTCAGGAGGTTTTTATTAACATACAAAAGTTCAAGTTCTATTTAAAATCAACCAGTTCTTGGAACAGAAGAGAGCCTGGAAATACACCCACATATCTGCAGCCAGCCAGCTTTCAAAAGTTTAAAAACACACCAGGAAAAAGAGAGAGAGTTGAGTCAATAAATGGGACTGGAAAAGCAGACTACCACACAAAGAATGAAGCTGTACCCTTAACCCGACCAGTTATAAACACCAACTTAAATGCGCTAAGCACTTGAATAGAAGGCCTAAAATAATGAAATTACTAAAAGAAAACAAAAATGCTTCAGGACTCTAGAACTGGCAAGGATTTCTTGGACAAGGCCCCAAAAACACAGGAAATAAAAGCAAAACTAGACAAATGCAATTACATCAAACTGAAAAGCTGCAGAGCAAAGGAAGCCACCAAGAGCGTGGAGACAGCCAAGGGGGGCGGGCGGGGAGTAAGTACAAGCTGCGCACCTGGCAGCCCTAAGAACTTAAAAATTCATTACTGAAAAGGGGAAAAAGTTAACAAATGGGCAGCACGCATAAACAGACATCTCTCAAAAGAAGACACACAAATGACACACAGGTATCTGGAAAAATGTTTAACACCATCAATCAACAGGAAATTCAAGTCAAAACTTCAATGAGAGACAGCGTCACCTCATTCATTATGGCAAAGAGACTGTGGCGAACACGTGCTGGTGCGGGCACGGAGGGGCAAATCTGCACACTGTCAGGAGCGGGAGTCAGCACAGCCATCATGGAAAGCACTCAGCACTAACCAACCCGATCCAGGAATCCCAATCCCACATGCAAGGGGATGTCAAGGAGACACCTGCAATCTCATCACTGAGACACTCTTCTCAGTAGCCAAGCAGCCAAAACAATAAACGGGTCTACCAATCAATGATTAATGAAACGGTCCATAAACACAAAGAGATGGTGTGACCATAAGGAATGAAATCCTATCATCTGCAACCACATAGATGGAGGGCAATAATCCGTGAGCGAATACACTCACAGAGCAAAGAGCACCGGGCCTCACCCAAATGTGGAAGTTTTAAAACAGCTGACGGGAACAAAACAGTGTGAGCGTGCAGCAGAAGGCAGGGGAGGGGAGGGTGGGCAGAGCCTTAGAGAGCTCTAGGAAGTCCTGATGCGCTGCTGAATAGTGAGCGGGGCAACGAGGAAAATCAGCGCTTAAAAAAGCTGGAAGAAAGGGTTTTGAAAGCTTTCACCACAAAGAAATAATAAATGTCTGAGGGGTAGGTGTTTAACCTGATTTAAGCTCTGTGCGATGCATACATGTACCCACATCAAAACATTATTACTCTATGACTATAAATAATTTTTATGTTCAATGTATTACTTAGAAATAAGGGAGGTTAGGCCGGGCGATGGTGGCGCACGCCTTTAATCCCAGCACTTGGGAGGCAGAGGCAGGCGGATCTCTGTGAGTTCGAGACCAGCCTGGTCTACAGGAGCTAGTTCCAGGACAGGCTCCAAAAACCACAGAGAAACCCTGCCTCGAAAAACCAAAAAAAAAAAAAAAAAAAAAAAAAAAATAAGGGAGGTTGAGAACCACTGCTTTAGACTCTGAGGAACCAACTGCCACACCTCACTGTCCAGTTCTCTAAATGGCACCAGAAAAGACAAAGAGACACTAACTGCTCATGTCAACCGTCCTTCAATTCCAGTGTCTACCTGTCAGCCCCAAACCGTCCATGTCATCTTCTTTCAGATCTGCAGATTAGGTTCGGTTCCACTACAAGGGAGTCCTTACAGCACAAAGGCATTCTCACTCCTGACTAGCCTGAAACTGCGCGGGGAAGGCCAGCCGGGAATTCCACAGCTGAGGAAGCGCGGAAAGAGAATTCTACCCCAGTCCACGGGAGGATCCCAGGGCTAGAGGAAGCAACAAACCCCCGTGCTGCCAGCTTGCAGGTGGTGCTAGGAAGTATGGTGAAGTTTCCGGCCAGCAGATTGTCCATGTGGGCACAGGAAAATACGTGGTTACTGTGGCAGAGGACGTGGCCAGCAGCTCAGCCATACCAAGTAACATAGAATGATAAGTACCCGGACTTGCTGCCCTTCTTTAGCCCTGGACCTACTCTTGTACATTGGTGGTACTGGCCAAGAGCTTGCTTTCAGGCTGTGATTAGCCTAACTGATAAGTTTGCTGGGTGGTGGTGGCGCACGCCTTTAATCTCAGCACTTGGGAGACAGAGGCAGGTGGATCTCTGTGAGTTCGAGACCAGTCTGGTCTACAGGAGCTAGTTCCAGGACAGGCTCCAAAACCACAGAGAAACCCTGTCTCGAAAAACCAAAACAAAAAACAAACAAACAAACAAAAAAACCTGGGAACTTTATAAAAACCATATTAATTGTAAACTAGAAATGAATCACAGTTGCTCGGCGTGATATATATACCTTTGACCTCCTGAGCCTCACGGAGGAGGTCTGTGACCTCTCTCTCTGCCTCCTTCAGTCTGTCCTCAAAGGCTTGGTCCGTCACCGTCTCGTCCCCGGTCCCGAGGTTTGCTATGAGGCTCTCTAACTCCTGGAGTTTCACTCGATGCTCAGCAACCTGAGGAGGACAAGAGAAGTTGGCTGTGGGTGCTGCAGGAGCCACAGGGAGCCCTGGAAGTGGGGGAACTGTGCCCTCACACACAGGCAGCACGGGCAGAAGTGGGGGGACTGTGCCCTCACACACGCTGCTCACACAGGCAGCACAGGCAGAAGTGGCTTGTCTTTTCTTCTGGCTTCCAAAGCAAACCCTTAGAACCACTCTCTTCCTGTACACGTCTGTTGAGTTCTCCAGCTCCCCCCTGAGCACCTGAGAGCTCCACCAGGCCTCTCAAACTGAACCCAGGACCTGTCCTCCCTGGGGATTCCCAGTAGACAGCATCTCCAGCAACATAAAGCGAAAACCTCAAGGTCCAAGCCCTTTCTTGAGTCTTCTTTTTCCCTACCCCGCTCTCTCACCCACCTATTTATCCCACCCATTCAACGGCTCTCCCTTCATCCCATCCCTAGTGACCACTCTTCATGTGGTAGTCAGGACTCCTCTGAAAGTACAACTGGACCTCTATACACTTCCATCGTATTTGGGAATAATTCCTAAAGTCCTCACTTACCATCAACACAGTCTTACAGAACCTCCACAGGGCAGGATCCAGAAGCTCCCGGGGTCCAGGCCTTTGCCCGGCATTCCTCCTCCCATGGCTCCCTCTCCTCACCCTCGGCTTTCACTTCGCAAGAGTTTCCTTGCAGAGGCCTTACCCAGTTTCCCACAGATATTATCCATTCCTACTCTTTCAGACACCTCTTATCTCGGGTGTTTTCTTATGCACGCAGTTCTGGTCACTCCCCCTAACTAGAAAGTATGCCTCTGAGAAGAGAGACCAGATCCAACGTGTTCACCATTTTTCTCTCTGGAGCCTAGAGTATACTGAGTTTCCACTTGGTGTCCTCTGAATAGACGAGAAATGAATGAATGAATGAACGAACGAATGAATACACTACTGGCAGCTTACCTTATCCTTCACCAGTCGGTAACAAGCTGGGCACTCCTGGCAGCCAGGCCAAGAGCGATTATAGAAATAGTTCTCTTCACATTGGTCACAGCGATTTCCCACAAAGCCTTCCCTGCATTCACAGCGGCCATCGTCTTTACACTGGAGTGAAAGGGACCCTTCGTGGTGGCAGTCACAAGCTACAGAACAAGAGGACAATTAAGACAATTCCCATCGGAACTGGTTGTAACATCATTCTAAACACTTAGAAAAATTCATTTATGAGATCCTAGATAGGTAAGTCCATTTGACAGAGAAGACAGACATTTTAGGTTGTAAATTAAAATGTGCACCCTCTGGGGCACACTCTTTGTGTGTGGTGTATGTGTTCATCTGTGCACACACATGCATGTGCCCACAGAGGCCGGGATCACCACTGGGTATCTATCCTCCTCTATCACTTTCTGCCTTACTTCTGTCGTTGGTTTTTGAGACAGGGTCTCATTATGTAGCTCTGGCTGGCCTGGAACTCACTATGTAGACCAGGCTGGCTTCCAACTCACAAGAGATCTGTCTACTTTTGCTTCCCGAATGCTGGGATTAAAGGTGTGTGCCACTGTGCCTAGTTCCCAACAACAGGGAAGACTGGCTCGCTAATGAGCTCCGGGGATCTACCTAGTTCAGCACTGCAGGTACAGATGCACAGCTACCTTTTTATGTGGGTGCTGGGGATCTGAACTCAGTTCCTCTTGCTCGTATGGCAAGCACTTTATCCACTGAGCCGTCTCCCCATCCCCCTGAGACACAGTCATTACAGAATTACCAGAATGGTGGAGAATGTGCCTTTGAGAAGTGGAGGAAAGGGAAGTGAGGCAAGCCCGGGCTACTCAGGGAAGGGGAAAAAACCGTGTGTGTGTGTGTGTGTGTGTGTGTGTGTGTGTGTCTGTGTGTCTGTGTGTGTCTGTGTATATATACATACGGTGATTATTATAAACTAAGTAGTGTTCTTTTTCATACACTTCAGGAATTCCTCTCTACTTTCATCTTTCCACAGCTTGAATTTCTCTAAGAAATAAGAAACCCCAAACGCTAACACTTCTCTTGCATTATTTTTCAGTTTGTTTTCTCACTTTGTTCGCCGAGCTGAGTCAGTGGCTTGTGCATTCCACAGGAGAAACGAAGGAATCCAGAACACAAGAACCCAAACTGTTCTGATTTCCAGGCAAGTGTTTATGCCAAGGAGAAGCAGATGTTTATATCCAGCCAAACCAAAAAGGCCCCACGGGTGGAGAGTAAGCACAGTGAGTCAACAAATACTGAACAGAACCCATTACTGTTCCCTTATCTGCAATGATAATGTGATCAATAAACAAGTTTCATGAGGCAGAGTGGGCAAGCTCAGGGCTCAGAAGGAGTTTTTTTTTTTTTTTAAGAAAACAAAATTGCAAAGAGAAGTATAAAAAACTCACAAAAGGTGACATTAGCAAGGCGGTCACAAAGGAAACAGAAAAGCCCTTGATTTCTAGAGTTTTATAATATTCACAGACTAGTCTCCACGATGGCCACACAGGCTATTGGGGTTCTCTCTGTGTTTAGAGCATTAGTTGAAATTGGGAGACACGGCCTGCAAGCCACCATTCTTACGTTTGCAGCCTTCAGGGCCAAATCCGAAGTGGTTGGTCTCACAGCGCTCACAGTGCTGACCAGTGATGCCAGGCTGGCACTCACACTGACCAGTGCGGATGTCACACTGCCCGTTGGTGGAACCCAAAGCATGGCAGTCACACCTGAAAAGAAACACAAGACATTTCTAGGGTAAGAAAAGCAGACTGTAAGCAACATTCTCTATCAAAGGCAGGGTGTTATGGACCATTAGTTGGAAAGTTAAGTCCCTAAGGTTCTAGCCCTTTCTGTGAGTGCTGCTCAGGGCTCTTTGGCAAGCCTCACCTGCACCAGGATGCCCCATTCTGAAACCCTACTGGTACTGACCAAGAACTGGACAGAGATTCCCAGGTCACGGTCCTGCCGAGTCTGTCTCCTATATCTTCTCATGCAGTGCTTTTCCTATGTAAGGCCCTCAAAAAAATTCCTGAACAACATCAAGTCAGCCACTAACTGTGACCTGAGAAACTGTACTTCTTGTGATACAGACAGAAAAGGTCACTTCTCCCCTCCAAAGCCTCCAGAGTCTCACCTCTCACAGCCTTGTCCACTCTGCAGGTTGTAGAAGCCAGGGTCACAAGCGCCACAGTCCCGGCCCGACACATGAGGCAGACACTCACACTGCCCAGTCACGGGGTTACAGCTGCTCTGTTGCTGCACCGTCCCGTAGGGATTGCAGGCGCAGGCTGGGGGGAAGACAGAGGAAGCAACAGATGCGAATCACCAGGGAGAACAGAGCACAGGTCTTTAGGCCTGTGTTGTCAGGTGCAGAAGCCGCCAGTCACATACAGTGTGTCTGGGTAATCTGGGCAGATGTGCCATCAGTTGAAACATACACTGGCTTTGTTGATGTCCGGTGGGAAAAGAATACCCACTTCATTAACAGTTTTCAACTAATTATCAGCTGAAGCAATAAAATGGTGGTTATATTAGGTTAAATGAAATATATTAAAATGAATTCTCCTGTTTCACTTTTTTAACGTGGTGTCTAGCGATCTTAAGTTGTGCAAGTGGCTCACACCGCATTTTCACAGGCCAGTACTGCATTTGTGCAAACTTCTGTCAGTACTGAAAGAGACACACGACGAATGCGCGCATCAAGGTGTGTGCGCCCGAATCTGACAGTGGCTGACCTTTGCATTTGTCTGCAGGATTGGGAGCCAGGGGGTTGCCGAAAAACCCTTCTTTGCATCGGTCGCAGTAGAAGCCGGCGGTGTTGTAGATGCACTTCAGACACTCTCCTGTCAGGCGGTTGCAGTTGCCAACCGCATTGGGGTCTATGTTGTCGTTACACTGGCATGGACGGCAAAGTCTCACGGGCCCACTGCTGCCCAGAGGGTCTCCAAAGTAGCCGTCATCACACAGCTCACATCTCTTGCCTGGGAACAAGACAATCAGAGGGTAAGGAAGAAAGGCCTGAGGCTCTCCTGCTGTGGATGACCAACGGGGACATACTGTCCAGTCTGGCCATAACATACAGGGCTTATGCTACACACACAGTGGCTCAACAGTACCGTGCAGTCCACAGAAGGAAAAGCCAGGTTCACAGCAGCTGTTCATTTAGGAGGAAGCAACACTAGAGCGCTATACAGTTTTCTGAATTCATATTTCCTCATAGGCAGCCTTATCAAGACACCCAGGCTGTGGCCCCAACACTGGGCCAGACCAGTGGAGTGGCCTTGACATACTCATTCAGTAGGATGGTCCCTGGTTTGTCTACTTCATTTCAAATTCTCCGACAACCAAGATCACAACTTCTTGGTAAATGAGACAGGCTCAGGATTTACCAAGTCTGTATTCCCAACGAATAGTACATCCACACAGGCTTTGGCTGGACTTGAATAAGACAAAGCACTACTTTTGATGCTTTAAGTTTTCCAAACAACAGGGTGAGCAGGGTCTTTCTTATTTTCTAAAAGGCATACACCATCCCTAGTTGAGCACTGCCAGCCAGTGTAAACTAGAGAGAGAACTCTAAAAGAGAACCAGGTACCACACACTATCCTATGGGAGCTCTACTGATCAGCAGGGAAAAGGTGGAGCCAGACTCAGGCTCTCTCCACCATGCTCATTGCTCTCCTCCATCCTTTCATTGCCTGCCATTGTCAGCTCAAGATGGGCTCTTGACATCTATGCAGCCAATAGGGCCTAAATGAGCCTAACATTTCTCAAGCATCTGGTCTATTAATTCTCTAAACAACTGTAGGTGAGTGTCTGCTATGTGCATGGGCACTCTTCCAGGCTGTGAGCGAGGTAGGTGTGGTCTCTGCTCTAATGACACTTAGGTTGCATTTAGGGAGGATCAGCACATACACACACACACACACACACGCACACACGCACGCACACGCACAAGACTTCAATGGGGACAAGTACAACAGCATTAAACCAAACACAGAGCCAGTTCAAATGACAGTGAAGGCGAAGGCCACTGTAGACTCGGTGAGACATTGGGATGAGAATGATGACAGAGAATTCTGCCAGGAAAATACCCATGGAAACGTTCTTGAACAAGGCCACACACAGAAGCAGAACCAACAACCCAAGTCAGAGCAGGGTGGCAGGAAGAAATCTGGATTTAAACTGAAGTGCTGTTTGTTTGTCTGTGTGCACACATGCCATGGCCTGACCATTGGGATCAAAGGAAAATTAGTGAGAGTTGGTTCTCTTTCAACTGTGTGTGATCCCAGGGCTGAACTCGGGTCTGGAGGTTCGACAGCAAGTGCTTTCCTCATCTTAGTTCTTGGAGAGTTCTTATGTGGTACCATCACAGAGCATGGTTACAAACATAATCTCAGCACTTGGGAGGCTGAGCCGGGAAGATCACAAACTTGGGGTCAGCCTGGGAGTTTTGGACCCAGAACTACAGAGTAAGATGCCTCAGAAGAGAAAACACTGACAAAGTAACATAATCTGATTCCCTTGTAAAAGGATTATTCCGGCTCCTGAACGAAGAGCCGATCTCAGAAAAGCAGGTGAAGCAGGGAGCCCCATGGAGAAGCAACCTCGATTGAGAGGCCACGGTGGGTAGACTGGGGTAGCAGCAGTAAAGGAAGGAGAGGGAGGGTTGTTTCTAAGAAGTGAAAGAAAGAATCACCAAGTGTAAGCCCAGGGATTTTAGCTTGCACAGGCAGGTTGTGTAGTCTAGAGACCTCTGGAAAGAGAGAGGGTTAGAACTGGGGAAAAAAGATTTATCTGAGACTGTAGCTATGGGAATCTGGAAAGAAGTGGAGGAAATTAGCACATTCAGTTAGCATGGCTCTCGGGGTTTACTGAAGGGGCTGCGATACCAGGCTCGGTAGAGACGGGGACTCACGGGATGAAGGTGAGAGCCTGTGCTCCAGGCGGCATGGAGAGAGCAGCTGCCAGATCACAAGGTTGGAGGAGCTCTTGGGGTTACCTTTCAGAAGCTCAGAACTTCAACTTGGGGTCACCAGCCCTAAGGACCACATCAAGATGGGCCTTGAAATAAAAACTGCCCTCCTCCTCTCTGATCTCGGGTGTACGCTTCTGGCTACCCCAACTCCACAGGAGGCTGGATCTGATGCAGCACTGAGGATACGGATTTTGTAATCCCAGGCAGAAGTCTGAAAAGATCTGATGACCTCAGGGAGGACTGTGGAGCAAACTCAGATGGAAACCCCCAGCTGAGATAAAGAGGTGACCAAAGGTAAAGGAAGAAAGAGAAGACCAAGGAGAGTGGCAGTTCTGACCGTGGAGGGACAGTCGGCGGGCACTGCCCAGCACGGCACAGCACTGACTGCTGAGCACTACACCTGACAGACAGATCAGGGGGCAATAAGCAGAGCCAAGGATATGGGAGGTGAGGTAGGACAGAAAACAGAATGCAGAACGCAGGAGACTAGGAATGAGGGACCCTCCTGGCCCTGCTGCGGGTAGCACCAGCCTCCTTCAGAGCCATCTCCACGTGAGCACAAGGGTAGCATTCCAGCCACGCTGATAATGCAGTTACTCCACACATGATCTATGCTTCAAAAGCTTGAAACTTGCTTCATAGCAAACTACAACAGAGACACAAGGTAGCCTGCCTTTCATTTTAAAGTTTAGGATCACATTTCAAACCCTGCACTCCTTATTCAGCTTAGAGTGAGTGACACACTGTTCCAGCCCTGGCTTTGTCTTTCTGTCCTTCACAGCAGAGACAAGGGGAGTCAAGGAGGGGTCATGACCAACTCTGAAATCCTTTCGGTAAAGGATGATTTAAAAAATAATTTTAAAACTGCTATTTCACACTAACAATTCCAGACAAGCCTACGCTAAAGGCCAGCTTGGGTTCTCACATTGAGAGAGATGACAGACCCAAAGCCTGGGTTGCAGCCGTACCCACCCGTGTCTCACCACACAGCCTTGGACGTGGCCCTCACTGTTTCTACACCTTTCTCCCTTCAAGGTTATGAGGACAGCTGAGGCAGGCCGTGCAAACGCTGAGAACTCTACCGAACACTGAAGGGGGGGATGAGCAGGGCATACTCACCGGCTGTGCCAGTTGGACAGTGCGTGCACACCACTTCCTTTGTCTTGGGAACAACGGCACAACTTGAGCCACCAGGGCAGGGACAAGGCTGGCAGTCAGAGGAGGTACCCAGGGTTGAATCTCCATAGTATCCGTCACTGCACTTCTCACAGTGAGGGCCATCTGTATTGTCTCTGCAGTTGCAGACACCTATTTTGGGAACAGTTAAGGTAAGTCATTAGGTATGTGACATGTTAATCAATGGGTATCACTACTACTGGCAAAAGGACCCTCGGGTCCAGCAGTGGCCTCAGGGCCTTCTCACCTGTCTCGGGGTCACAGGTCTCACTGTGTCCATTGCAGGTACAGAGCACACATGGGCTGTAAGGTCCAAGACTCGGAGTTTCTCTTCTGTAGCCTGAGAGGCACATCTCACAGAACTGCCCTCCATACCCCACGGGACAGGTGCAGGACTCCACCCAAGTTGCAGGGACTCCGGGCCCAGGACGAGCACTTGCCAAGGTGACGTCATCCAAATATCCAGCACCTGTTTGTGTGTGGGAAAGAGAAACACTGAAGTGCCTTCCAGGGTCCAGACGCTTATGAAGAGCCAGCAACGCGTAAGAGCCAGACCCAAGAGTCCAGACAAAACTGACGATGACCTGATGTCATAACCAGGAATGATAACTGGAAAACAGCATTTAAGACAGCTAGGTGGTACAGGATGCTAAGCACACGGAGGAGGTATGGCAAATTTATACACACAGAGAGACTATATAGCTTTGAAAAATATGCAATACCCCCAAAGCCATTATGCCATTGTCAGAGTGCGCTTCCATTCCCGTAAGGACAACAAGGCTTATACTGAGTAGACGATGGTCCATCTGATCTAGCAGAACCAGAGGCAATGTTCTAAGGGGATAAACACGGGCTCTGGAGATGCGATCATGTTTCCCTTTAATTCTATTCTACTGGAGTCCTTCACAGTCTTTTGCTTACAGTACATTCCTTCCATGTTATGGAGCATTACTTTCTGTTTATATAATTCACGTGGAAACTGACTACCTAGGCCAAAGGATACTTACAGTACTGGCTTGAACGTAGCTTTTAGTATGCTTCTGGTTTGTGCCAGTCAGATCATGAGTTATGATGTGCTTCTAATATCTAAACATTCTTACAGCTCCCTGACCTAAAAATACTCTTCTTTCAATCTTGCTCTTACTCCTAAATGATAACTCATCTCTTTTTCTCTCTTGCAGCCAAACTTCAAGAGAATATTATTCATTTTACCGTCTCTCATTCAAAATTACCTTTCAGGGAGTCCAGCGATCTTCCTCTGAGCCACTAAGTTTCACCATGGAGCCAAAGCCAACCTCCCCGCCAGAGGCTTCTCAACCCCCACCTAAAACCTGGTGGTGGTCTTATCCTCAACCTCCAATAATTTTCTTCTCCAAATTCTTTTCCTCCCTTGGCCTCAGGCCCTCCACTGTGTTTCTAGGATCCCATTCCCTTTCTCTGTTTTCTGCCATATTTCTAAGTGTAAAAGTAAATATCCAAAATGTGGACACAATCTATAGTTGTAATTCAGACTTCTTCCAAGGGCTCAGATCCGCATTAGCAATTACTCATAAGACATTTTTATATGGACACTCATGCAGAGAGCTCAAAAGCAAGCAAACCCAAGACATCCAAGCTGCAACCTTCACATTACCAAAGGGGAAAAGTCCTCATTAGTAAGTGTTTGAAGGCATATTTTAAAACTTTTATATAAAATTAAAGCAAATGTTCACTGGATAGTATATGATTTCTCATAATTTAGCCAATAGTTCAAATCACTTGATAATTACATGGCAGTAAATAAAAAGAAATGAAGATTAAGCAAGCTGAACCAGACTTTAAGAAAATCTATATATAATGGAATTTCAATTGGCTTATTAATTATAAAGTAATACTGTCACTGAATATTCTCCAGATCCTTGATGATGGTTTCAACGTGCATTTTAATACACAGGTGATAACAGTCTGGACCAGAGTGAACATATCAGAACATGAGTCTTCCTACCTCACCATCTTAATTATTCCTAAACTGTATCACAACTTACTCCTCTCACTGTATGTGCCTCGGATCTTGATGGAGGTCAAGTTGTTTAGGAGCTTCTGAAATTCAAAGGGGGAGAGAGTGGGCCTCCAAGGGTAATCTGTTGCTTCATGGAGCCTGGAGAGATATAAAGAGCACATAACCTCTATAAGAAGAGTCTGAGGCCGGGCGGTGGTGGCGCACGCCTTTAATCCCAGCACTCGGAGGCAGAGGCAGGCGGATCTCTGTGAGTTCGAGACCAGCCTGGTCTACAGAGCTAGTTCCAGGACAGGCTCCAAAACCACAGAGAAACCCTGTCTCGAAAAACCAAAGGAAAAAAAAAAAAAAAAGAGTGCAAGGAGGCTGCTCTGCTCAGTGACGCCACTGCAGGCAATACCGACACGCTAACCAAATAAAGGAGAGCATTTCCAGTTTCTCAGACAACTAGAAAAGAGAAAATAAAGGAAGGCTCATCTCAATAACCCAGAAGGTTTTTTTTTTTTTTTTTTTTTTTTTTAAACAGAGAATTTTGATATGTAACCTAAGCTGGCCTGAAGCTCTTGGCAATCCCCTTAACTCAACCTCCAATGGTCTAGGACAACAGGCTTGAGCCACTACCTCTAGCCCAAAAGTTTTTCATTAACACACACCTTGAGGCCAGATCAACTCAGATAAAACAAACAAGAAACCCCCACTTTTTCTTTCTCCGTTGTCAGGTCTGAGTTGACAGAGAGCACCGTCTCACCTGAAGATGTACTTCACAGCAGTCTCACTAGGATAGGAATTGCCCTGGGCGATCAAGGGCACGGAAACTCTCAAGCCAGCTCCCTCAAGCACGAGATCTTCTGCAGAGAGGCGAGTGTCCCGTCTGTCCACTCGGAAGGAGAAGGAAAGGTTCTGCCCATAACTCAGAACCTGGTTACCCAGGAACTTGGCTGAAAGGCAGACATCAGGCTGAGTCAGAATGTGAGACCAAGACAAAGAGAAGCACCCAGACATCCACGTTGCCTTCCAGCCTCACTTACCAGGGGCGATGAAGTACCTAGGAAAGTAACTGTCTGAGATCACGGCGATGTCCTGCCTATCTGAGGACCACTCAAGAGATGCCTCCGAGCCATCTCTTTGTTCCACATGCCACCCATCCTCATCTGCCGGTAGAGAATGAAGACACAGGCATGTTTACATGACAAGCATCCTATACACAAGTCCACAAAATGTGACACTTCACCTTATATAGAGAAAATCATCAATAAAAAATTTTGACGCCAGACATATATATATATATGCTATCCCCGAAAGATACATTTTGCTGTATTTTCAATGATACATTTGTAGTCAACTGCTTACTACAGTCAGTGCTCTAAAACCATATGCATGTTTTCATTAAAGGGCCACACAAGGAAAAAAATACACATTAAATAACATCAAACATTCCTCGTATCAAAAACCCTCAAGTTACTGATTCAAAAACTACCCATGTAGCACTGGTCTCAGAGCTCTAGGGGCCCGAGAGTTGAATCAGGGCTGAATTACCAATCTGAAAGGTGGAGGAGATGTCGTAAACACTGTAGCCAGCAGCATTTGTGCACACGGAGGAATGCCCGAAGCAGAAGCAGGGTGTGCAACCCTTAGGATTAGATGATTCCAGATTGAAGAATCCAGGCTTGCATCTGAAAGAGATGAAGGCAGCATCAGTCACCGGTTTCACCCAGAATCTGACACCTTGAGAACAACAGTTTGAGAAAGATGGAGCTACCTCTCACAGCTGAAGCCTTCGACGTTGTCTTTGCAGACACATCTTCCTGTTTCGACATTACATTCATCTGTGCTGCCGGACGGGTTACAGGAGCATGGCCTGCTCGGCGGGAATGGAACACAACAATGAGGAAAGGGACCCACTCTTGGAGCCAACGGCTTTACGCAAAGGACAGAGTGAACTCCTGCTACTTTTATATTTGGTTTCAGAGGAGAATGTTCATCGCACAGTAACTTCAACCACTAACACTCTGTACTCTCCAAATCCCAGGGGCATCATCATGGTAGTCTTGAAGCTTGCTGACCATCCCTTCTGGGAAAGTGTTCCCACTTTCCTGCGCAGATTCAGGTCCAGTCTCTGGTTCTGAAAACATTTACCTGCATCCCGCCTCGGTGAGGGAATGGAATCCAGGCTGGCAGCGGTCACACTTGTCACCCATCACTCCTGGCTTGCAGCTGCATCTGCCGTAATTGTCACACTGTGTGCTGAGAGAACCTAAGAGTCAATGAGTTCATGTTCAGTTTCATATCTGGACAGATGGGGACGTAAAACCAGTGTCAAAAGAAACACGAGCAGAAGCTAAAAGCAATGCCTGATGGCCAATATGTAATCTCTAGATGCTCAGAGAAAACAAGGACCAAATTCCAAACTAGAGCTCTCTGTAAATCATAGCTTCATGAGCCATAAGAGTTCAGTTTTTTATCTCACTCTCAAACAAAACAGTCCCCAGGGATACACTGTGTACAAAGGCCAGTCACCTCTCTGGCCATCAGACATCCCTTAAGATTCTCATCTAGAATTTCACTATACATCGGCACAAACAACAAAATATTAGCCTAATTAAAAAAAAAAAAAAAGCACAAGCGACCAAATGCTATGTGTCTCTAGACACACACTAACATGCTGCACACAGCTCAGCCCTCTGAGGAGATTAGACTAAACAAAATCATTAACAAGGGGAAGCTTCCCTCAGGCAAAGTTCAGATGGTCTCTATGACCCAGCTGCAAATTATTTACAGAACTACTACTTCTTCTATACACGCTAGAAAATGATCTAAAAGTTCAACTTCGTCAGAGTGAAGGAGGGGTGTGGAGGCAGGACGAGGCATTAGAAGGCTAGAGCAGCATGCATACTGCAGCCCTTAACTGTGCACACGTACTGCAGCCCTTAACTGTGCACACGTACTGCAGCCCTTAACTGTGCACACACACTGCAGCCCTTAACTGTGCACACGCATACTGCAGCCCTTAACTGCACACGCATACTGCAGCCCTTAACTACACACATACTGCCACCCTTAACTGCACACACATACTGCCACCCTTAACTGTGCACACACATACTGCCACCCTTAACTGTGCACACGCATACTGCAGCCCTTAACTGTGCACACACATACTGCCGCCCTTAACTGTGCACACGCACTGCCACCCTTAACTGTGCACACGTACTGCAGCCCTTAACTGTGCACACGCATACTGCCACCCTTAACTGTGCACACGCATACTGCCGCCCTTAACTACACACACGCATACTGCCAACCATTAACTACACACATACTCAGGATGCCAGGCTTTTTTCTGGGTTCGGGGGACTCCTGTGCCATTTTACTGCATCCAGTAGAACGGCTCCTTCCTGTCACTCACCAACAGGACTGCAGTGGCATGGAGAGCAGGCTTCAGTGTTCCCCAGGCGGAAGAAGTTCTCCCGGCACCTCTCACACTTGGCACCATCGGTGTTATCCCGGCAGTTGGTACAGTGGCCACCATGTCCAGTTGAACGGTAGAGCTCAGGGTCAAAGTAGCATTCTTGGGATCGACCATTGCAGTCACAGGCTATAGATCAAAACATACAAGTTATAGCAGATGTATATACCTTTAAAAAGAAAATGTACATGTGTATCTGAGTGAATGCCGTGTGGGGGGCGGGCTACAGAGGCCCAAAGAGGTGTCAGATGCCCTGGAGCTAGTTGTGAGCTACCCAATGTGTGCTTTATTGGGAAATAAACTTTGGAAGAGGATGAGAGTTCTTGACCTCTGAGTCATCACTATGGGCCCCCCAAGACCTGCATACCTTTAAGAAAGCATTTTAAAAGACCCCAAGAAAACCAAATCACAATTCCCTACATCTCTGTGGCAGGTAATATAGAACAACTACCAGGCACATTGTTTAAAGAAAACCAAGTGGAAAACCAACTTTAGGTAGCCTGATCATCGCTTACTAGAAAATATCCATCCTTATAGAAAAAGAATAATCATATACATATACTCAGAAAAGAACCTGTCTCCTAGTAGCTTTTAATCCATAAGAGCTGAGTCAAACGATCCATTTTCTAACTGTTATATAGTGTTGGCTGGTCTGGAACTCACTACGCAGAACTGGTCTTGAAGAGACAGAGATCTGCCTGCCTCTGCCTCCCCAGCGCTGGGATAACAGTGTGCACCACCACACCCATTTTTCTAACTCTGTGTCCTCTACTTGTAGTAGTGACAGGAAAAACCAGGCACTAATTTATCATGCAGCTTTAACATCTTTTCCTCGAGAATCCAAACACATTAAGACGTTAGCTTTCAAAGGGCCAGATTACTCTATCCAGACTAGGGACCATGAGACATGTAGGTTTAAATGAGCACGCTTGACGATGGAAGCAGAATTACAGGGCAGTCCGGACCTTTAGATCCATCTGCTGCAGAACCACAGTTCCAACTAGAGCATCTGTTAAACACAACAATATTTTAGGAATAAGTAACTGGCCGGGCGTGGTGCACAGCACTCAGAAGGCAACTCTATGAGTCTGAGGTCAGCCTGGTCTCCACAGGGAGTTCCAGGCCAGAGCTACACAGTGAGATCCTGTCTCCAAAATAAACAAATAAATATTTGTGGTCACAGAGTTCTTATTTCTGTTTATAGTAAAATGATTTTCTCAGACTTAACCTGTCCAAAGCATATATAAGTTCTTAGTCACCACACAAAAACAAAGTTTTGCTTGGTTTATGAGAGAGCTATCAACTATTTTTTAAAAACATTTGAATATATATTTTCTTTTTCTGTACAATATAGGTTACTACAGAATTACAACTGAAAACATTTTTAGAAACTTGAATTGCTGGCCCCAAGACTTGAAGTTTTATTAAGTCATCTTTCAGTGCCTACCCCTTCTCAATAGCTGTTGTAATAGTGCCCCCCCTTCACTGACTACTTCTCTTTCCCTGAGCTGCCCTCCCTCACCCTGCAGTCAGCCAGCCTTGTTGAGTAGTGGGCTGGTGCCAAGATCATGACGCAGAACAATTCCCATGCCCACTCTGCTCCAACCCAAAGTTACAGCATGGGCTTTGCCTCTCATTAACAGCTGGACGAGAGAAGGCAGCTGGATTGTTCTCTGTCTAGCCCCAGTGTCCCAAATGGTCTGCTACAGTCATGTGACTACTTCATGCTGAATGGTTAGGGCTGAGGAGACTGTGGAGGGAGGCAAATTCAGTGAGCTTCTTATCAAACCCCGTTAGCTGCCATAGCTGCTTCATGTCCTAGTGGTAAATCTTATTTTGTTTATTAATTCCTGCATAAACTAGAAATATCACATCCATATGCACACAACTTTACAAATGCACGTGTGTTTAGATGATATGTTTTAGGAGTATTTCATGGCTCTTACACCAGTCCTCATCTTACAACATCCAATTACATTAGCGTGGCAATGGGGCTGAAGGAGCTCACTGGATTTTGGGAAATGCCAGAGGGAGCTGTAAAGTTTATCAGCAGCTCCCGGATTTGTTGAGAGAAATCGAAGATGCACAATAAATCCTGCTCAAGGCAGCTCAACAAAAACAGTTGTAAACGAGCAGGTGGGGCCTTCTCAAGGCTCTGTGGTAACTGCTCTACATACCCAGTGTCCTTTTCCTTACTCCTTTGATTCCCACACTGATGAAAGACATAAGAACACTGTGGTTGCTTTAAAGTTGGTTTGTATTAAGTCTTGGGAAAATAATGACTCTCCTTGAGTCTCAGTCTGTTCAGAACAAGTCATGGCATTATGAAAGCTAAATAAGTGTTAATTTCTTCATTTTGACCTTTGTTAGGGCACAGGGCTTATCCCTCCTTCCAAAGTCACCCAGATTTCCAGGCCATGTTTGGGTAAGTTCTTCCCACTTTTCTCTTTAGATAAAGGAAAAATGATTTTGCAAATTAGCTCATTGTACCTGGCATGCGCTAACCAGCTGGCTGCTTAGTGAGTGAGCACTGATGAGGAGATGACTGTGTCTGTACCTGGAGCCACACGGACTCCGTCAACTGTCAACACAGAGTATTGGGGGGGGGGGGGATGTCAGTACTTAACGTATGTACAGACTTTTCTTTATTGTCCCCGTTCCCCAATATAGGACAACTATTCACATGGCATTTGCACTGTATGCCCTCAGTAACCTGCAGATGACGAGCATGGAAGAGGGTGCATGGTCACACGCAAACACTACGCCATTTTATACAGCGAACTTGGACATTTATGAACTTTGGTATCTAAGGAAGGCTCTGGAACCCATTTCCTGTGAATACTGAGAGATGGTTGGTTTTAAAGGGCCATGATGATTACAGAGATCACGTTTAAGAGGTGCCACACTGACCCAGTATTTGACTCTATGCAAACTCCTGAACCTTGGTGACTCTATCCCCTAGCCGATGTTCACGATGGAGACAAAACCATGTGGGTTTATTCACGACCAACTTCCACTGGTGAGCGTGTGGTTCAGCTCCCTGCCCAGCAGTGCCTCAGAGTTTCCACCAGTGAGGAAGTCACCATCCCTTCTTCCGGCGATAACCCTAAGACAAGGGACAGGCTACACGAGCGGTACTCACGCAGGCATTCGCTGGCGCTCTCGGCGGTCGCCCTCCTCCACGGCCGGTCATTGAAGAAAGGCAGGCACTTCTCACAGTCAACTCCATATGTGTTATGTTTGCAATTGCACACCAGTTTGCCAAATTCATTCTTTACACACTCACTGGCATGTCCGTTACACTTACACCTGGAAAGAGAAGGGGTAGGCAACAACAGGATCACTGGAAGGTCCTAGAACAATGCAGAGGGAGTGTGCATACAAAAAACCAAAGCAACCTAAGAATTCTTTGGATTTTACCATTCAAAAGTATAAACTGAGGCACTTTACAAGGATAAGTTGAAACACGCACGCACGCACACTCACACAAGATGGAACATTAACTAGACAGAAGAAAGTCCCTAACATTTTCCAAGAACACCAGCAGGATATTTCCTAATGTCAAGACTTCCAGGAAGCAGCAGAAGACAGTAGCTAAGAATTACATAAAGTCTGACACCAGGTCACCTGGGTTTGGAACCTCTCCCTGCCACTTACAGTGTGCCTAAACCCCACCTGTCAGACAGACATGATGAAGTCTCTCTCAGAGCCCCTGGGAAATGCCCAGTTTCTGCATACAGGACTAAAGAGAACGTAAGTTAAAACATATGGCAGAAATTCACCCTCATGATTAATGCTTCCCACCGAAGGAAGTAAGATGCTGACTTGGACAATAAATTCCCCATAGATGTCCAGTAGACAGATTATTCCCTTGGGCTTTCCAGGGGCAGAGGTCGCTGAAGGATCCCCCTGGAGGCAAATATAGTAATAAGAACCCAAGGAAACTCACAGAGATATGAATGTGGCTGGAACAGAGACATTCTCTCACTCGCTTCCTTTAAGAGCAATTCTGTAGCTCCAGCTACCACCTAAAAATGCCTGTGCACACTGGAATCATCTTCAATGTGCAGAGATCAGTCCTGGTCTTAGAACCCTGTTCCCATCCTTCTCCACAGCTCCTGTCCTAAGTGGTTGTACAAACTTAATGTCTCCTATAACCTAAACTCCACAAGTCTAAGACCAAATGTATCATCTTCTCCAGGTTAACCCACTTTCTAAATTTAGTGATGGTTCCACTGTTTTCCTGATCATTAGACCTTGAGAGCATCTTTGACTAAAGACCTGGTAATTTTCCCTTCACAGCAAAACACATCTCTGCATCCCTTTTGATCTGTCAGCAGCCTAATGTCAGGCGTTTGTTGTTTAATATCCAGATTATACAGCATCAAAGCAGGAATAGAAATTCCATCAGCCACACTGTCCTTACCCTGTTAGCACACTGACCCTAAACATTTTGTGAGTTGATTCTGCAGGCCAGCGTATACAGTAATGGGCTTCATAACTATGCACCACTATACATACACTCTCTCTCCGTACACTCATCTTCCTAACCCAGCTTTGATTTATAGCCTCATGTCAAACACCGCCCAATTTCTCATGGTTACATGCCAAACCTATCTCCCTGAGCATGCCAGGAACACCAGATGCAAAAATAATTTTTCTGCTTCATAGAGATCTTATGGGGAATACGAGGGAAGAAAGTCCACGACCATAACTCCATCTTTCTGGTTTACAGTCCTGCAAAGAGATTTTCTTCCCATCAAGTGAAGTTACACTCTCTGAACTCTGCTGAAATACACCCATCTTCCTGCACTCACTGCAGACACCTCCTGTTATTTAAGACCCACCCAGACGCCACCTGCTCCTCTAGCCTTGCAGTTCTGTTTCTTGATTCATGACACTTTTGTTTAGAACACATGGGCACACTAGCACAAGCTGAGCAACCCCCACTCCAAGTGCCCGGGAAGGGAAGTTTTTGGTTTCTCTTTCTTTCTTTCTTCCTTCCTTCCTTCCTTCCTTCCTTCCTTCCTTCCTTCCTTCCTTCCTTCCTTTCTTTCTTTCTTTCTTTCTCAGACTGCTATATCTTGGGAGTGGGACCAAGTCACAGCACAAACTTCATGGCCTGAAGGTAATTTTCTACAACCCTGGGGACCAGCATGTTGACCACGTGTTATGTCACCTGAGCATGAGGAAATATCAAGCTTTGTGTGCTGGTTAGTTAGTTTTTCTATCAACTTAGCATAAGCATGGGACATCTGGGAAGAGGGGCTCCCCCAAATGAGAAAAAGACTCCATCATACTGACTGGTAGCTGAGTCTGTGGGTATTTTCTTGATTAATGACTGATGGGGAGGGCCCAGCCACCACAGGCAGTGCTAGCCCTAGGTGGCCCTAGACTGTATAAGGAAGCAAGCTAAGCAAGCCATGGAGAACAACCTAGTAAGTAGCACTATTGGAGGGCTCAGGCCCCTGCCCTGCTGGAATTCCTACCCTGACTTCTCACTGATAGACTGTGCTCTGAGAGCTGTAAGATAAATAAACCCCTTTCCTCCCCGAACATGTGGTTTATCACAACAGCAGAAAGCAGACTAGGACAGCTTAGGCTTGTGGATCAGAGATGCTCAACCTATATGTGAATTTTTACATATTTACAGATTGCTCTTAACTTATTTGTAAAATCTTAGAAGGTCAAGGCTTCTCCCTTAACTCAGCAGGCTCTATTACTGGATTCTGGACTTAAAGGGTCAGTGGGTGTGGACTTAAAGTTTCAGAACACCCAATTGCTTAGTTACCAGAATAAGATCTGATAAGAAAAAAAATTCTAAATTGTAGCTGGCCTTTCCAGATCCACATGGTCCCTAAATGCTAATAAAGTCATAAACAGTTCTACATCAAAGTTCCCTTGTTTACTCACCTGCCGCCCACTGCGAAGTCTGAGATTGCATAATAGTAGGACTTGAGAACTTTGGGGTCGTTAAACACTTCATCTCCAAAAGTGTTCAGGCGATTGAGTGTTACTCTGATGTCAGTAGCAGTTACCCATTCCTGCCAAAAAGGGGGAAATGAGTGAATGAGTGAATGAACACATAAAGAGAAGCAGAGAGACTGAAGATGAGAAACACATTTGACAAAATCTTCTACTCAATAGTTCATATGCTAATACAGATCCTATTGTGTTAAATCATTGAATATGCTGGACTAACTTTAACTCCCTGATATTCTCCCTGTGGCTCGTCTGTAGTTAGCACAGTCACTACACCACCTCATCCAAAGATGAGAACACTGCTGGCTTCTTCCCTAGGAGACAGAAAGGTCTGAACGAAACACACAGCCCAGTAACCAGGAGAAACTTCCACTCCTTGCTTCTCAGTCTACAACTGAGCTGCAGCCAGGAGTACCAGCTCAGATCACACGCACGCCACACTTGTTCTAACACGTGTGTCCCTACACACTGCTTCCCATCTAGTTCTGGCTCCTAGGCCTGAATCCCACTGCTGTGGGGCAGGTAGGTAACCTAAGCACAGGTAATGTCTGAGTACACGGACCCAGACCACCCAAACGCAGTTAGTTCTGTGTTTGTCAGCATCTTTCCCACGACATGGCCTGTTAGATCTTCCCTGGCCAATCTTAAACTATCACCACCCCATTGGTTTGTGTATATCATCCATCTCAACACTGCCTGCAACACCCGACTGAAGGTGTCAGAAGGGTAAGAAATTCTGCTCATTTTATTCAGTGTTGTGTCCCTCATACTTGGCAAAGAGTGAACGAATCTGCATCTGATCAAACTGAAGGTATATCATAACAATTCTAATGGAGCACCAAGAACGAAGGCTGCGCTATTACCCCTGGCTTTAGGATATCTAAGCCCTTATAATAAATGCCCTTTCAATTAGCTAACTTTATCAGGTGCTTACACGCGTGGCACACTGCTATCATAATGACCCCAATGACCTGCCTGCCAGTGCCACACCCTATGCAGTTGCCATCCATGCTGACTCTGTGCTTGGATGTATTCTCAGCTTTGGCCTAGGGGACATCAGCCAATATGACAGAAACAGAGGCTCGATAAGGCCTATTCATGCCCTCACTGTGAAAAGCCTGGGCTGGTCTCTGAACATGGAAGATCACAGGGGAAAAGAAAGATTCAGTCCTTGGTTGACCTGCCTGGTGAGTGAGCTCAGACCAAAGATAGCACTTCTACTCCAGTCCAGGAGACCGACTTAGGAACAATGTGTCAGAATCACCCTCAATCTGTGTCCAGCAAGCCAAGCGGTTAAGCAGGCATTTATGCTTCCAGAGGGCTCTTGGAGACCAGCAGGCCCACTCCTGATAAAGAACCACTGCCTTAAGCTATGCCAAACACCTGGCAACAGAGAAGGCTCATTAAAAAAAAAAACTAATCTCCATGAAGTTTCAAGTATAATTAGAAAGGAGAAGATGATGATTTCACTGCATACAATCTTGGAACTCAATAACAACTCCCACTCATGGCCACAATGGCAGGAATCTGTTAGTTGTCCATAACGTAGATAGCTAAACACACCTCTTAAAGCTTCTAATACCTCCTCCAAGCTTCAGCTCTACCACAGCTCCCTCTACAAAGAAGATGGAGAGCTCCCAGGGTGCCACTAGGACAACTGCTTCACCATGAATATCTTAGACTGAACAGAGTCCCAGCCTCAGTTCTGCCACTGACCACTGTGAGATGGGCACTTTACGTCCTTTCTCAGCTCTGATTCCTCACCTATAAAAAGGAAGACAATACAATATCCAACCTACAGAGTTACAAGAATTAAAAGACTTAATACATTTAGACATCAGAACGCGACTCAGTCTCTGTGGCTGAGAACATGCTTGCTGCATTGCAGCACAACCAAGTGCACAGCAGATGGTAAGAGCTACAAAGTAATACAGGCTGACACTCAGCCAGTGGAACCTGAGACGGTCTCCTCCTCCATCTGGGAAAAGGCAGTTCACTCTTATCAGCTAGAAGTCAAATCTGCTCACCCGATTTGGCTCCAAGTGATGAGAGCCAGGGCTCTTATATCCAGACACACATAGTTAAAGCTACTGCACAATGAAACCAACTCACAAAATTTATGCAGACGCCGAAAGCATTCTTACCACAGAGTCTCACTAGTTTCTGTGGCATAAAGAATAGCTAACAGCAGAATCCCTGCTGGGAGTTGCTCAAGACAGGCTGAAGCACACGCAGCAAGGGGAGCTGCTAGAGACACTGATGGGCACGGGAAGAGGGGAGGAGCCAGAGAACTACTCTTTCCTACTGGTCCCACTGCAGTCTCTCCAGGACAGGAAACACAATCAACTGGACAAAGAAACAAGGCTAGCAGATGTCTGCTTTATCACCTTTCCTAAGGTTTTCTTTCAGTGTTTAGCCATTCTGTCTGTCCAAACCAGTTACCCACTCTGCCACTTATTTTGTCTGCACCACAGGAACTCTTTCCTGAAAGGCCTTGGGAAATAATTGGATTTACTTTCATACTCACCAACTCCTGACAGCCTAAAAGAGCACAGTGGGTAGCGGCCTGGATACACAGCAAAACATATTCTCATCTGTGGCTTTGCCTAAACTATACAACCAAACCAGAAAGCATCCTTGACTATAAGAATAAATTGTAGGGCTAGAAAGATGGCACAGTGGGTGGGGAGCTTGCTGCCAAGCCTGACGACCTGAGTTCAGTCCCCAGAACCAACACGGTAGATGGTCTTGCATGTGGTCCTCTGACCTACATGTGGGTAGTACAGTGTACACATGTGCTCTCACATCACGTTAGTAATTATAGTAAAAATTGTAATTATAATAAAGTCCAGAGAAGAGGTGAGAATTCAGAAATGGAAAGCCCAGAAAAACAGGAGGTTCCACGAAATTGGCATAGCATCTGCAGAGTCCCATCCAGGCCTTCCTTCCCTCCTCAGTCAGTGAGTATATATAGAGCACCTCCATTTAGACACTAACATCACCGTCTAAACAGGTACGACATCGGGGTCTGAATCAACAGACTAAGAATGACACAGGGATCCCCATTCTTCCAGAACATGTGGAAAGTTTAAAGAAAGCTGAGCCACACACAGAGAATCCATACGAGGGTGCACAAGGAATGTGCATCGAACTGGTGAAAGAAATCTTTGATTTGGTCTGTAAGGCAGGGGAAAGTTTCTAATGTGATGTTTAAGCACAGTACCAAAGTACCCTAACATATTTCCCATCCCTAGAACTCAACTTCACAGGTGAAGAAGAAAGAGTTCTCATAGTGACGATGACCAGCACAGACAAAATGTCCTTGTGTGGTAAGGAAGCCATTCTTAGGTACTTAAATAGCTTGCATCAGCTGCTCCCCATTGCTTGCTTTTATATATCTGTCAAATCAAGGAGCAATTAGGATAAAATGCAAGAAAATGGGAAGATTATTTCAAATATCTTATTTTACTTATTTTGGGGAAGGCACAGGCCAAAAAGAAGGCTCCGTAGGTGAAGGCTCCTGCCACCAAACCTAATGTCCTCAGTTCAGTCTCTGGGATCCACAGGGTAGAAGGAGAGAACCAACTTCCATCTGCCGATTTCCTCTGAGCTACATGCATGTGCTATTGTGCTTGCCCACACACACACATACACAAATTTTAAAATGTAAACAAAAATTACAGTCTTTCAGACAGTATCTCATATATTCCAAGCTGGCCTTGAACCTGAGACAGAGCTGGAGATGATCTTAAACTTCTGATCTTCCTGCCTCCACCCTCTCCCGGCTTAGGAGGTACTGGAAATTAAACAGTCTACAAACTGAGTCATATTCCCAGCCCTACACCAACATCTTCTTGAAAAAGTCAGAAGTGAAATGTTCCCTCCTGAAGTGCAGAGACGAAAGTTAGAACTGCTCAGTGTTAATACAATCTGCAGTGTGGTGGTGAGCACCTATTCTCCACACTGGGGAGGAGGCTGGGAGGTCAGGAGTTCAAGGTCATCCCCAACTGCACAAGGGCCACCTCAAAATATTAAAACTTGTTTTTGTTTGTAAAGGTTAAACCCTGGGGTATGTTTTCAAGTGGGAGGTATACAGGACCAGTGTCTCCCAGGCGGTGGGAGAAAATGGCTTTTTTTTTTTTTTCACATATAGATAGCACACATGGACATAGCATGAAATCTAGCTGCTCATGAGATGGCTCACTTAAATAATTTCCATTCTCAGTCAGGGGAGGACAGCCGGCTCCCACACCACCTGTGAGTGCCTACCTGCAGCACAGGGCTGTTGTCAAAGTTGTAGGCACTCGGCCTTCCTTCCAGGGTTGAAAAGGCCACGTTGCCCCCGGTGAGGGGGGAAATGTCACTGAATTCGTCAGTGCACAGGGCCTGCTGCTCGTCCCCTCCGGTCCTGATGAAGCCACGGTTGGCCTTGGAGTAGGTGTTCTCGCAGGAGCCGCTGTAGTACTGGTAAGGAATCCAGGGCCCATCCTCCCGAGTGCGCTTGTAGATGGCGAAGCTCTCCGGGCGGCTGGTGTGGAACTTGAGACGCACGTAAGTGATGTCAAAAGCCTTTCCTGTGGAAGAGACACACCAAAGTCCTTAAGTTGTGTGGAGGAAGAGAAGAAACGCCTCTATTCCAAACTAGGCCTGGGGCTTGATGAAGAGGGGCCTGGCATTAGACCACAAAGACCTCAGCACACCCAACACAGTGGCTGGACTATTCTAAACCTGCACGTTGTCTAAACAATGTGCAAAGCACAGTCGGCTTCCTACCATTGGTTGTGAGAACTTGTGATGTAAGTACAATACTAAAGAATTTTTAAATAAAACCAAAAATCCCCCTATTCTTAATGCTGCTGTTTCAGTGAAAGCTTAATTAAGAGCTATTAAAAACCATCTGAGGCTTTTTAAAATGGGTACTTTCAATACTTTACAAACCTTATTTTTTATTAACTACAGCGCTTCTCTTGGTGCAGGAAGAGTGTCCACAGAGCTACTCTCTTATCCAGCCCAGTGGGAAGGAGAGTGTTTGGGACATGAACAGGAAAGCTCAACAGGAGACAGAAGAAGAAAGAGAAAGGCATCTTCAAGAGGATGTATCTGAGGATGTTCACAAGGGAACACGTGAGAAGCAGTTCTGAGGCACAACGGGCAGAAGGAGTCAAGGGGCTGCCTGCCCTCTAGAAGCAGTCACGGGGTCAGGCGGGTCCCTGAGCAGTCCGAGCACGGCCAGTGGTTGGGACAGCACGTCCTCAGACAATATGCAACTGTTTAATCACCACCCATGCACTCACTAGGCCTATCTTTTATACCACCTATGCCCTGCTACTGTGTTATACCAGAGACAACGATGACCACAGATGGGTCCACAGGACTCTGAGCTCAATCCACACTCAGTCCCGTGCACACCGGGCACAGGATGTGTCCAGAAAACATCTTTGCTCTCAAGGAGCTTGCATGTACCCCCCACAAGTCAATCATCTCTTAAAAGGAAAAAACTACCCTTACCTTCTCCTATGGAGAACCCTCTAAGATGCTGGGAAAGAGACTACTCTGAGTCCAGGCCATATCCTCCAACCCAGCTTTATCTACACTAAAACTGACTTTCTCAACTAGTTCGGATCATACAAGGGATTTAATAATAGTCTCTCTCTCTCTCTCTCTCTCTCTCTCTCTCTCTCTCTCTCTCTCTCTCTCTCTGTGTGTGTGTGTGTGTCTCAGTGTGTGTGTGTGTGTGAGCTCTCTCTCTCTGTCTCAGTGTGTGTGTGTGTGTGTGTGTGTGTGAGAGAGAGAGAGAGAGAGAGAGAGAGAGAGAGAGAATGAGAATACTCTAATAACACAACCGAACTTGGACTGGGCACCGTGCAGCCTGGCCCCTTTACTCACTAGCTATCTGATTCTGATGTAGCAGCTTCTCTTTTATAAAGATGAGGAAAATCCTGCCCCATCCACTCTTACACATCCTTGACCCATTAGAAAGTTTTACAAGGTATAAAGTAATATTATGATAAAGTTTATGAAGAAAATTCTTGAGCCAAGGGTTTTAAACCTATTAATACAAGGACCTAGCTGCCCCAGTAAGTGCACTCACCAAAGAGCTACACAAATACGGAACTCCCCTCAGGAGAGGTACAGCATTTTTCCCAGACACAGGTCATACACTACAGTTCACACAATTTTGTTGGAAGAACCATTGCATTGTCTCTGCTGTCAAAACATGGCACTCCAGAAACTTCCTATCTGACATTCTAGCAGAGCAAACAGTCGATTTAGCACAGGAGTGGGTGGCGTGGGATGCTCACGGGGTTATTTGCTAATCTGTGGGTTACACATTACCCTGACTCTCCTTCTCTCCCCACCTTCCTGACATCTCACTGCTTGTTAGCAGCCTGACCTATAGCAAATACCTTCTAACATAAGTCTGCATATGAGGTCACATTGTGGTCCAGACCACCACGCACACTGCCCCAGAGTCATGCTCTAACCACTGTGGTCACAGGAGGGCGGTTCTTAGCAGTGGTCCTATCACAAGGGTGGGGCATCGCATCTGAGGGGCATGGATGAAAACCACCTAAGCCAGGTTTGCCAGGTGTTTTCTGAGGGGAGTGGCATCTACTTACAAAACCAAGAAATGCTTAATGAAATAGACAGTGGCTTAGCTAAAGAAATGGCATGTATGAGCCGGGAGGTGGTGGCGCACGCCTTTAATCCCAGCACTCGGGAGGCAGAGACAGGCGGATCTTTGTGAGTTCGAGGCCAGCCTGGTCTACAGAGCAAGCTCCAGGACAGGCTCCAAAGCTACACAGAGAAACCTTGTCTCAAAAAATCAAAAAGCAAGCAAGAAAAAAGAAATGGCATGTATGAAAGAGGGGAGATCACGGGAGGAATAGGAATCACGGAGCAGCTAGAACTACAAAGGACAGCTGGAGATGAAGGCAATTTCAACATAAGGTCAACAGCCACCAGCGACGGACTTACCCCAGGAAATGCATGGTCAGGTTTTTGACTTTATGGCCTGTGTGGAGATTAGAAGGGATAAGGATGAAGGAGAACTTCTTATTTGTTTAGTTGGTTGATTTTGTTTGTTTGTTTTGTTTTGAGACAGGGCCTCTCAATATAGCCCTGGCTGTCCTGTAACTCACAATGTAGACCATGCTAGCGCCAGCTCTGCTCCCAGAGTGCTGGGATTAAAGGTGTGAGCCACCATGCACAGTCCAACGACATCTTCTTAAGATGTGGCAATATTCCAGGAAAGATGACAAACTAAACATGAAAGAGAGATGACGAACTACAGAGAAATGCACTGGCCTACAGAGAGAGGATGGGGAACTGCTTTAAAGACCCCCTCCACTGCACCCTGCTCCACTTCCTCATCAGAGTAGATGCTCCCCATCCCATGATGGGAAGATCAGGATAATATTTAATTTTCTAGCTTAAAAGTCACCAAATGGCTGGGTGGTGGCGCGTGCCTTTAATCCCAGCACTCCCGGGAGGTAGGGGCAGTCGGATCTCTGTGAGTTCAAGGCCAGCCTGGTCCACAGAGCGAGTTCCACAACAGCCAGGACTGTTATATAAAGAAACCTTATCTTGGAAAGAAAAAAAAAAAACACCAATTTGAAAGGAGTAAACAGTGCTGCTCACCGAGATTACAAAAGTGGGGGATGAGCTCATCTCAGATACACTAGATCTGGGGTACCTGCAGGTCCCCTAGACAAGAGGAAATCTCTATAAGGGAACAGGATCCGAGTGGCCTGGAAGACCAGAAGTAGTTACCTAAGTTAGACATGAAGACTTAGGACCCCCAGCATGTAGACACCAAGCTTTAAGGGGCAGGCAGAGACCAAAGAGCAAGTGAGTCACATTAAGAGCCAGTTTCCATAATCACCCCAAGGAGCACCACAGTTTAAAGCACAGACAGATGAGACGACAGAACACACAGTGCGGAAGTGACCGGGGAGAGTAGGAACCAAGAAAACAGGTTCTGAAGAGGGCTCATCAATTGTATTAAAATCTGCTACCAGCTGGGCTGGGGAGGTGGCTAGGTTAGTAAAGGTGTCTTCTCAGCATGAGGACCTGAGTCCAGAGCCCGGGGTCCACATCAAAAGCTGTGCACCTGTAATAAAGGTGGCTCTGTGCACCCGAAATCCCAGTGCTATGACAGTGGGAACAGGAGGGTCCCTGGGGCTTGCTGGCCACTCAGTCCAGTCTATGAGTGACCTTCAGCGTCAGTGAAGCTGACCTGAGGTTGGTTCTCTGAACCCGTATCAGAGGGCTTAGAACTGCCAGCTCCAGGGGACACAAGCTTTCTTCTGGCTTCCTCAGGCATCCACACACATGTAGCACACTTTCTCACAGACAGACACATCTTTTTTAAAAGAAAAGCAAAAAAGTGGGAAAGTGATGGAGAACACCTTATATCCACAATGGGCACACTAACGTGTGTAAACACTACCCTACAAGAGCTCCCCCAACCACAAGCATGGATGAGTATACACATGTGCACAAATCTGCTAAGAGTTAATTGTCAAATAAGACAGTGCCTAAAGAAATGCCCCTGGCAGCAAGCCACCAAGTTCACTGTGCATTTAAAGGAGCCCCATGGGCAGGGATGGCAGCGTGAGCGCTGGGACTGAGGGTGGACGGTGGGCTAACGCAGGGAGTGACAGAGTTCTGATAATGTGTCCCCTTTGTAGTTACCATCAAGGGTACCTGCACTCATGGTAGGAGGCAAAGCCAGTTGGGGAAGTTGAGTGAGAAATAGCTGAAAAACTCAGAGACATTTATTTTGTTAAATGTATTTATTATGATTGTGCATGAGACGGTGAGTGTGGAAAGGCCTGTGGAGGCCAGAGGGTACCTTTTGGGAGTCAGTTCTCTCCCCCTCACTGGGTTCCAGATACTGAACTCAGCTCAGCAGGCTGCTAGAGCAAGTACACTGAGCCATGGTGTGGGCTCTCTTCAGACATTTTATTTAATAGGTACTTTCAGCCCTCCTCGCCCCCCACAAGTACCCTTACTGGGCAAAGCCTGGCCACTGAGATGAGGGTGGAAGACCACAACTCTGTACAGATATTTCTGCAGAGGTGTTATTTCCTTCAACAGCCTAAAGCACCCTTTTTACTGATGTACCTGAAGGACAAAAGGATAAGAAATGTAAGTTGCTTCAAGGAATTTGGAATCTAGTTTGGACAACAAAGAAACATATCCAGTGTGGTGTGCAACTTTACAATCCCAAACTCGGGACAGAGGAGTGAAGACTCTGTGCCCCAAACAAAGAGTTCCGGGCATAGCTCTGCAGTAGAATACCCATTTAGCATGCAAAGGCCCTGGGCTCAACCCCAACACCGCACACACACAGCAGACATGGTCAAGAAAAGGGATGGAGGGCCAGGGTACGCAATCATCTGTGCTACCTGACGTAATGATGATCACGGAGAATGAAGAACTGGAAAACCTAACTTGTATGCTACACTTGTGCACCTCCACGCCTGTCTCGCCTTCCTCCTGCCTGCCCTCCCTCTATCTCACCATACTCCCGGCCTCATATTGGCCCATCTCTTCATTCCACACTGGC